TCTTGCTATGTGTACAGGCTCTTATAATGAGGCGTTTACAATTTTTGCATTTTGGAAAAGCTTGTCTTTTCAGGTTTGAGCACTCTGCTGACTTTACAATACAGTCCATACAATGTATAACCGTACATCTTGTGGGACCGCAGAGAGGTTTGAAAAGTGGAGGAGGGGGCAGAAGAAAATGGCAGAATCGGATTGTTGTTGAAAGTATAGTTAATTTGTTTTTGACAGTTTTATCGGTAATCATTCAATATACAAAAATTGTTTGATTTCAAGTGTTCAAACTGAGTGCCCTGGCACGGTGCTCAGGCACGGGCACCAATGTGAACACAAAATTTTGATGGTGCTTGTGCATAAGTGCCCGGGTCTGGGCACCACGAAAGAGGTATTATCCAAGTACAGTGCTCAGGCACGGGCACCAATGTGAACACAACATTTTGATGGTGCTTGTGTATAAGTGCCCGGGTCTGGACACCACGAAAGAGGTATTACACAAGTACAGTGCTCGGCACGGGCACCGATGTAAACGACGGCACCTGAGTAATTGGTAGAGAAAGGCATTCCTTCAGCACATGGTTTTAAAATTTGTTTACAATGAAAAACATAAAATTGTAAATAGACGAAACTAGTAGGTACTACGTAGTGTGAACAACCTGCAGATTTTTACCAGAACCAGGGTATCGTACTCCGGCAATTAGTCTGAACGTGCTATAATTGATCAATCTAACGTCAACTAAAAAATGATAGTAGAACATAAGTGAGACATGAAATACTGTTAAACATCCGTACTTATCAAATGTAAGTATTTTCCTGGAGCTGATTTTTATACTTTTACACTTTACAAAACAAGAGATATTGAAAAAGTGTGTGTGTGTGTGGAGGTAGCAACTGTCACAAGTGCGTAGTTAAGGAAAGGGAGAAAATTAAAGTTGGAAAATACTTTTAAAATGTTGGACTTGTTTGTTCATGTCTGGTTTGTGTTGGCGTATGTGTAGGGTTTGTTTGAGTTTGAAAGTGAATGAAGTGTTAGCAGTGTTAGAGAAGCGTGATGAAGTGTATTTATATTTGTTTTCAGATTTTGTTAATGTTTGTCAACGTGTGTTTTTTTATCCATATGGCAAAATTTCTGGTGGTTTCATGTATGTAACAGCTGTATGATATTTCTATCTTAAGGTGGTCATATACAAATTGAAGGCACCATTTTTTCTAAAAACTCAAAATTTTTGTTTGATCATTATCGGTACTTTATGTTGTGGTTTTTATGAATATTGTAATCGTTTTTCGTTAAAACTATCATTTACCCACGAAAAATGCTTTCCAAGTTGTCTTCTTATACTTTTTGGTTCATAGCAACGCCTTAGCAACGGATTTTTACCCAAATTTCACCCTAAAAACTCCCCTTCTAAAGCGAATTTTTTGTTTCTACTTTTGGTGGATGTTATTCAAAGCCTTCTCGTTAAGTTACATCGTGATTGGTTGCAATTTGGCACCATGGTAACTCTTAGAATTTCAAATCAAAGATGATCGCGTGCTCGCATTGTTCGAAAAGTTGCTCTTCAAAAAACATTATATTTTGTATCTCTAAGGCGAAAAGTCTTTTTGGTAGTATTTCGGACCTTTCCTTTTGTTATTCCGATAATAATCAGAGTGAAAAATAATGAGGAATAGTCGAGATAGAAAGAGAAAAGCTGTTAGAACTCCGCCATCAAAAATGGCAAAGAAGTCAAAACATGGCGGAAACGATGACGCAAACCCTGGACCTTCTGGAAAGAAAATAAGTCATCAAACGAGGAGCATTGGCGAAGCTTTTAATAATCTACACACTGCAAAAGAAGGCACCATGTTTATGGACTTGTCTTTGCTGTTTGGTGTTTTTCATGAAATTTTAAAAGCCCTGATTGCGAAAGCAGTGTGGAATCCCATGTTGACTTGAGGAAAAGGAAAGGCTATGCACATTATATTGTTCTTCAATGTAAGAATGAAGAATGTGAGTGGAAGTATAGTTTCAACACATCTAAAAAGCAAGGCTGTTTACACGAAGTTAATGTCCGAGTAGTCCTAGCATTTCGAGAAATTGGTTGAGGGAAAGCTGCAATGTCACATTCAGCAAGGTCATGAATATGGCTCCACCAAAAACTTGCTGAAGCTTTACAGTGATCCAAAATAAAAAGCTATTACCAGTTGTTCAACAATTGGCCAATGACAACATGCTCAGCAATGCTATGCATGTTAAAGAGGAGAATGGAGCACCAGAATGTGGAATATCTTTGGAAGGTACATGGCAAAAGAGAGGCCATGATATGGGAAAGATGTCCGAAGACCACATATGTTGAACAAGAGACTGTTGCTCTTGCTACATACTTGGCTATACTTAAATTTAATGATAAGGACATAAATTTGTTAAAGATATTAAGTGAACTGGACACAACTCCTGGAATGTTTCCAAGTAAAGGGGCTCAAGAATGTGATCATCATCGGATAAAGTTGTCGGCAAAGAGCTCAGAGAAGGTGAAGAAGCAAAGAAAAACATTAAGAAACATTAGAAAGAATTATATTAACAATGCTAAACATAAGGAAGGAGTTACTTATGAAGCTGGCAATTTTTAGGGCTTCCAGAGGTATAATATAGGTTATGTAAACTTTAAATGCTGTTTTCTCATTTTGGTGATTTTAGCACGTAGTAAGAACTTTGTGACATCATAATATCTTTGTTATTTGTCAGAGATGCCTGAAATTTTGTATATTGAAGGCTAGTAATATTATCTAGTGCTTGACATTTTTCAAATTTTGAAATTTTGCATTGTTGATGAAATATTTACTCGTTATGTCATAAAATGTGTACCAAAAATGCAAAATTACTGAAGAAAATCAAATTTTGGAATATATTTTTTTTTATAAAGAATTAATAAAAAATTGAAAAGTGTCAAGCACTAGATTATGTTCTAAGCTTTTAAAAAAAACTTTACTTATTGAATTTGGATCATTGGTTCCCAAGATATCATGTTCGCAGCGAAGTTAATTTATTGGCTAATTAGTGGCCGCCATGTTGGATAATTAGTGTAATTAGTGATTTTCTAAAATTTTTTTTCCATTAGTGAATTCTCTTCATTAAAGTCTTTCAAATACTGATAGTTTCTTATAACTATCTTTAAAAATGAAAAAAATTCAATTTTTTGTATATGACCACCTTAAATCTGCGACTAAGATGGCTTGTAGTGAAGTCGAAACATGTCTGTCATGAAAATTACAAAATTGAAAAATATTGTCGTTTATTTGTTTACAAAATATCACATAAAATGAACATCACGGTAATCAATACATGCAAATATATGAGATTAAAGAGGTTTGAGATAGAGACGAAAACACTTGTATAAAAAGATATTAATTTAGGCAAAAACGTTTCAACTTTTTGGCTCTCCATAGACGCAACATACAGTGGTGTTGGCAGGATTTTTTTGGGGGGTGGGGTGGGGGGAGAAGGAGAGTAACACCTCCAAAATGTCACACGCAATGTAGAACGCAATGTTATAGTCAACTGAAACTTTCAATTTAGGTTTACAGAAACCTCAGTATGTGAAATATATTATTGGCAGTCGTCCCCCTTGCCGGAGCCTCTGACAACATATTAGAATCAAAAATCACATAAAAAAATGCTCTTATCTTGGAAAGCATTTATAGAGTACTTAAAACATGCATATTGAATATTATCAAACGAAAAAAACGTTTTAGTGAAAATAACAACTAAATTGGGACATTGTATAGTGTCATGGAATCCTGATTTGGTTACCTTCGTTTAACATAAAAAAAATGTTGGTATGACTAAGCTGTAAAATGTTTCTGAAGATCGGGTCTTGTGTTCAAGTCAGTCAACCTTATGATTTTGTGCACCAGAACAAGCAGTTCAGGAAAACGCTGCAAGAAATAGTCGATATATTTGCCTTCGTTGACATAACGCAGATGTTTACGAGGTTTATCGTTCCAATGCTCATTCACGTTTCTTATGAATCTTAAACACTTTGCCCATGTAGGCTCGTAAGTCAGAGTTATCTCTTTGCCATTCTTTTTAAATGTTTTGAAATCTTTCAAGATTTCATCATCCATACGAGTAATCCATTCCATGGGATCATACAATTGCGCAACAACATCTGAATTTGGAGAACTTTGACCTTGTGATTGTTTCATTTCCGGTTGGTTTCCCATAGCACATAGCAAGCTAAATTTCTTTTCAAGTGATAGTAGATACGGGTGTTTTAACGCCTTTTTGGCAGGTGGCCTGTCTTCTGGTAAATGTTGTAGCATCCATGAAAGAAGAACTTCAAGTACAACATCATCGATTTCCATCAATCCAACAGGGTTTCCATCTAGCAAGTTTTTCAGTCTAACTTCTCGACGTCCAAAAGGATGTTCCCCTTTTGTTGCAACATAATAAGCCACCATTCCTGCATTCTAAAATATATAAAAACATAACAGTTTCAACAAAAATTTCTAAAAAATTTGGAGGTAATTTGCAAATGGTTGTATTTTCACACCCACCATTACATCTGACTCTTCTTTGTATCGTGCTTTATCTACTGACTCTTCATCAACAACGTAAGATTCAGGAGCCATCCAATACATAGTTCCCTTAGTAGCGTCGCTTACATGTGTCGTAAGGCCGTTTTTCAATATTCGACGAATACCAAAGTCAGCTATCAGATAATGTCCTTGTGCATCTCGAAGAACATTAGATGGTTTTAAATCACGATGAAGAATAGGATTTGGTTTGCTATGAAGATCAGCTAATCCTTCTAAAATTTGCTTGAGAACATCGGGAAGAGATTTTTGAAGATCCTCCAAAGTAGAAGAATTTACAAAACTCTCCAGCGATTCTTCACATAGGTCAAGTATCAAATAGACATATTCAGCTCTGGTATCTTCTTCAAAGTGGTAATAATTCACAACATATCTCGATCTCTTAGCTTTGATTTCATTTAAAATTTTCATTTCGTTCACTGCTTCTTTAGTACAGTTATCTCGACGTACTCGTTTCACTGCTTTTCCATAACCATCCTTTTTCAGTCCAAGATAAACACGGGTTTCATTATTTCCTTTGCCAATGCAAAACTCGTCCAAGAAAATTACACGTACGCCGTTCATACCTTTTTATCTGGGTCGCGTCCATACTTAATTAATTTCAAGAACATGTCTTTGTGCTTTTTTGATTGATCAAAATACTTCCATTCTTCCAACTGCAATTCTAAAAATTATTTAAAAGTATTACATTTAGGGATAAGGGATGAAAATAATCAAACATGTGGAAGTGAGCTGAAAGTAATTTATTGCACACAAGATTCGAATACGTGCAAATAACATAATAGTATAGGCTGGGCTTTTTGGTATATTATTCAATACATTAAATAATAATGTATTCATTTTTTTTCAAAAACTCTAACCTTAATTTCGGGCAGTGAAATGTTACTCAAGAGACAAATCGGAAATTCCTTCGAGTTTGATCGGATATCGAAAGTCTCTTCAGTTTTAAACGAAAGCCATCCCTCAACATCAAAGACAAGTTGATTTCTCTTCACTAATTTCAGTTCATTTTTTCACCCTCTTAATCATCTAAATAGCTAATTCCCATTTTGTATATTCTTTCTAGTAAAACAATTTCTGTCATTTGTTTGAAGATATTTTGCGTCAAGATGAAACTTCACTTGCTATTTTAAAATAAACAGTAAACAATCAAACGATTATTGCTTTTTTTAAACTGATCTGTTGAGGAATAATTTTTATACAACATTGTATTGTCAAACCCATTTTGGCAAAATGTAAGCACGTGAGCGAAGGAAGTCACATGTGCGCAGTGCGTACCTAGTTTTATCATTTTTCGACGTTGTCGTCATTGATTTCTATTAAACTAATGGATATAAAAGTAGAATGCAGCCATATTATTCCATCTGGTAAAACGTTGTTTTTAACCATTTAAGTGACATGATGTCATTTATGAGTAATGAAATCAAGAATGATATGCGCGGCACAACATGCACAAAGACAAAAACATGAAATGTTCACACAATAGTGATCTTATCTTTGTCTACAATAGATAAATCTACCACTGAATCCTGTAACTTTTATTGCTTCTTAAAACTGTCTACATGAGCATTTAATTTACGTGGATCTCACAATTCACCTAATGAATCCACTGACATAGCAGTGTTTCTCAAAAACGAAGTCTCAATATACATTAACTTTGACAAGGAAAGAGGTGGCCCACAATTAATTCATAATACATTAATCAAACCATATATTATCGCAAATTAGAAATTAGCCATAAATTATTATACATAGTAGATAATTTTGTTTCAAATTAAAACTAAATAAAAAAAACTTTGATAATTAATATCCCTACATATTACCTTCCAGCTGGCGTGAGCATCCCTGATCAGTTCTTTCATATTCGTCTAAAATAAGACAGGAAAGATTAAATTCATAGTAAAAAAAACACTTCTAGAATGAAGAACGTTAATTAAAATTATCAATCATTTATCAAACATCTGACATCATGTCACGAATGCTTAGTTTAAAGTTCAAATCACAATATTTAATATTTAACAATAAAATAAACAGATACAAATGTTAAAGTTTTAAGAATCCTTTAATTTAACCAATTTATGACGACTTCTTTGAATTTATTGAACAATTACTGTTATAATCTGAATATCGCGCCACCTTTTTGTAATATCAACAATTTCCAGTAAATAACTTTTCTCCGTCCAAAAAGAAAAACTCGCTGAAGGTGTAATTAGGTCTTATAAGTAATGTGACGTCTGTCATCATCGAAGGAAATAGTATTGTACACAGGACTGTCAATGTATGCGTGTTCTAGTTGTACGACTTGTAAAATATGTTTTTTATACATTTTAAGTGAGCGTAAAAGCTGTACAAAGAATTGATCAACAATATTAGCCATTTGAAAGAATGTTTTATGCAGTGCGGTGTTTGAAATTAAATGAAGATATGATCTTCGCACTTTGCTGGACACTTTAAGCAATTGTCTCATGAACCTGAAAAATTCAGGTGACTTAACGGGATTCGAACCCATGACCTCTGCAGTGCTGGTGCAGTGCTCTGACAAACTGAGCTATGAAGTCACACAGTGGTGAGCAGGTCAATTTTGTTGGGCTCATGTTTTCTCGTGAAAAGAATGTCATATGAAAGAATGTTATATACAGTGCGGTGTTTGAAATTAAATGAAGATATGATCTTCGCACTTTGCTGAAGAATGGGTTCGAATCCCGTTGAGTCACCTGAATTTTTCAGGTTCATGAGACAATTGCTTAAATTGTCCAGCAAAGTGCGAAGATCATTTCTAAATTTAATTTCAAACACCGCACTGCATAAAACATTCTTTCATATGACATTCCTTTCACGAGAAAACATGAGCCCAACAAAATTGACCTGCTCACCACTGTGTGACTTCATAGCTCAGTTGGACAGGGCACTGCACCGGCACCGCAGAGGTCATGGGTTCGAATCCCGTTGAGTCACCTGAATTTATTAGGTTCATGAGACAATTGCTTAAATTGTCCAGCTAAGTGCGAAGATCATATCTTCATTTAAAATTAGCCATTAATAATCAAAAATATAGGTATTGTGGTATTATACAGAATGATTCTGTTTTACATTATGCATTCATGCTTGCGCGTTTTTGATAAACCAATGTATATACATAATAAACCAAGTGAGTAATAACAATTTGCGAAATGTATTCCAAGAAACAAGTATGCATGATGTATTTCTATTCGCAGTTAATTTTTGATGGCAAACTGTTTAGCTATATAATTTATCAATGTGATGACTGTATTAGAAAGCAAATCCAAACAGTTCTGTGTAGTGGCGTTGGTTCTCAGATTTTATTGTGCAAATATTGGCCTGTAAGTGTATGGTTTCGATGAATGGAGAATTTCCTATCGTTGACATTGAGATGAATATAAAGTGAGCTGATTGACAAACAAACGTTTCATGGGTAAGCCGCCAAAGCATGGTTCCAAAATGTTTTATCATATTTGGAGAAGAGCATCGTATACATAAACATAAAACAACTTGTTATAAAATGAAAACGCTTATCAGTCAAACATTGGATACGTATTAGTACTTTTGTGCAGTTGTCGATTTTTTATGTTATAAATTTGTTTATTTTCGGAACGATCTTCGTTTCATTATTGGTGAAACTCACTGCAAGCGAAGAAATTTGACAGCTTTTCCTAGCTCACCGTTCAAAAATTGATTATACCTATTTCAAAATGCTAATGTTGGTGTTGAGCAGAATCCGTAAGCGAAGTGATACATATTCTGACGTATACTTTAAAATAGAAACTATCACAGTTAAATAAACGAGGATGCGCAACCGATATACAAGATGTATATTTGCTATGTTTATTAAGATACTCTTCACAAAATGAAAATAAGTGCTCCAAACTTCATAAATTGATCAATTATTTTTTATGAAAATTTGGCACGGAAAGTTTTCTTTGAGCGAAAGAAAAAAGTCATTAAAACATTCTCCAAATTTCTTTACGTATATACAATAAGACAACAACAGCAATGCTACCTTTTCGACGGCCAAAGGCATTTAAATCTTCAACTAACATATTCGCGGTGGCATTTTTTCCTTTTGTTTTCTTGTACTTCAAAAGCATTTCCAATGGCAATTTATCAATTAAAGAGCATATCTTGTGAATATTTTCTTCAGGTATGCCCAGAATTCTACCAAGCTCCAGCCATTGAGGATATATTATTTCAGCAATTTCCCAGAGATCACTATCTTTGGGAACATCACTCACTACTGTAGCATCGTGATGTCTTAGATGTACAACAAGGTAATAGTTAACCATGTACAGGGTGACCCAAAAAGATGCGTACCCATGAAAATTTCAATTATGGCTTTAATTAAAAAGCTATGTATTTCAAATTACAGCCACACATCATTCAGTTTATGGAAGACTATTCACAAGAGTTTCGGCTATTTCTGTCAATTTTTAGTCAATTTATGGCTTTCCCATGATGTGTGTTGCAGCAAACCTGTCGTCTGGCAAAGTTTTGAATCACGTTTATACACTCCTCTTTCGGGATGGCTCTTATTTTTGCTGTGATGGCAGTTTTAAGTTCTTCAAAAATAAGAGCCATCCCGAAAGAGGAGTGTATAAAAGTGATTCAAACCTTTGCCAGACGAGTACAGGTGTGCTTGCAACGAAATGGTGGACATTTGGGACACATCTTGGGAAAGCCATAAATTGACTAAAAATTGACAGAAATAGCCGAAACTCTTGGGAATAGTCTTCCATAAACTGCATGATGTGTGGTTGTAATTTGAAATAAATAGCTCTTTAATTAAAGCCATAATTGAAATTTTCATGGGTACGCATCTTTTCGGGTCACCCTGTATAATGCCACTGATATATGAGATTATTTTCAATGTCGCTGATATCCCTTTCATTGTAAATATAACATTTCGACATGCTTCACGATTTCAAAATTCACTAAACATAGTGGTGACCATTACTACCCCTTGCGCAGAAAGGTTTGTTGACTATCTTAAAATTAACCTGATTACATAAGGCAAACTAGCTCCCAGGTAGCAATGTCGCTGCGATATGCCCACGAACTTCAATTCTGTTAATATGTCTACAAAATTGGATGGTTTCTGGGGATTTCTACGTACCAAGGTTTTAGAGGGTTTAGGTTTCTTTCAGGGGATTCTGGCAGGTTCGTTCGGCTTAAACAGACATTCTCATTCGTCGTCTTTGCTACATTTCTTTAATAAAACGCGTAGTGTGTGAACAAATAATTTGGAAACATTCAGCTCAGTGGGGGAGACTGATGGAGGGAGTTAACTTAAAATTCAATTCTTTGAAGCGATTTACCTCATTTACAGAGTTCCCCCAGTATACATGGGGACTGGCCCAGCACGTTAAGCAAGCTACCCCCGCTCTCATGTAATTACGTGTTTATGTAATGATGTACTTGGGGTCTTAATTAATACGTTTCAATAATCTCTTCAAAATCACAGCCCGCACGCGCGCGAGTGTGTAATAAATGACTGAGGAGGAGAGTTCTAGAGAGTTGAGATGGACAAAATCAATGCAAACGTGCTTGAAAAACCATGTTAGTAAATTGGGGGCATAGAACAAAACAACAAAACCAGAAAAAAACAAGAATAACTGCTGTTTTCGTGATCAATTATAAAAAACCTTCGATGATTTAAGAAAAAAAGTCAAATCAATACACTTACCGAAAGGAGTATATTCAGGTGATTCATCTTCTTGTTGCTCCTCCAAGAGCTCTTGCTGTAGGTCTTTACGTTGCTCTCCCTGCACGTTTTCCTGTTCATTATTTCGAGGTTCTTCTTGTCTTATCTCTGTTACCTCTTCATTATACATAATTTAAAAGACAAAAAAATGTTCAAGTTTCTATTTATTGCAATCTATGACCAAATCTATAGCAATCTATGTCCAAATCTATAGCAATCTATGTCCAAATCTATAGCAATCTATGTCCAAATCTATAGCAATCTATGTCCAAATCTATAGCAATCTATGTCCAAATCTATAGCAATCTAACTCCAAATCTATAGCAATCTATATCCAAATCTATAGCAATCTATGTTGTAAATACAAACAATAAAGTCACTATTCTTTCCAAAACTTTCATGATTGTTGGTAATAACCGTCCACACAATAGATACTTACTCTAAATCTTAACATCACGTCACTGCTTATGGTTAAACAAAGTGAAATCAAATGAAATTTCTCGTGACTCAATGATAAACAAAGTTTTGCTTTCCATGCATTAAATCATTCATCCAAACATTTAATTATTATATTAAAGAAATTTGATTCAAGTCAAAGCAAACGAGTACTAGAAAAAATTAAAACTTCATTTCTCTGGTAACATTCATGACAGTACAGAAAATACAACAGAAGATTTGTCGTTAATAAAAAAAGTGGCACATCTAAAGCAGTATAGAGCAATTATTTAATACAACCATCTTGTGGAATTGAAAAATAACATCAAACAGAAGAGAAACGAAACAGATCTAGCAACTTTTGTGGGAGAACATGATATGTTGGTCACCAGGCTCTCCAAAGCCATGTTTATACTACTTACAGGTTTATAACTGACCTGGGACCAAGTAGCTGGTGTAAGCATTGAACAAATCAAGACTGACATAGTACAGTGCCACATTAACCAATGGGACCACTCGGATTTTTTTAAACCAAAAATATTTATTTCAAAATGAGATTGAATTTAAAAAACAACCATACAATATGAAAACAAATGCTGCTGAGATAAACATAATCATTTATAGAAAAATACAACTGGAAACTGCCAAGAAAATATGGACCAAAAATAAAATCTGCTCTGGTAAAACAATGATATGGACGATCCAGACTCAATAAGTTTGTGCCCAGGCGCCCAAAACACCTCAATGCGGTCCTGACCTTGGACTGACTTTTCAAGCCCAGTATTGCACACAGTTTTAGTCAGGTTAGGGTATGTTACTGCATTAGTGTAAATGCATTTACTAGTTTCCATGACAGCTGCTTATAATAGAGCCAACAATGGCAGCTAGCCAATATTAGTTCTTTTAGATATAAATGTAAACAGTTGACTTGATATTGCTAAATAGTGACTTTTATAACATCAAGAACTGTTAGAAATTTAACGTACTTAAAAGCATTTTGAAATTTTGGCAGATGTTAAAATTTGGTTCTTGAATTCTCTGTGGAATGAATATAGGATTGAAGCTGAACTTGATGAATTTAATTTTTTAACATTCAAAAATGTTATTTATGCCAAACTGGCTACATTGATGAAATAACTTTTTTAAATTTTTAATGGACATAGTTACAAGCAACAAAATAGCTTTGCAACATAATTTTAGGCCAGACATTTAGGAATATTTTGGCCTAGGTAGGTTGCCATGTAAACTGCTCTCACTTATAGATCATTTCCAGGCCAGTACTATGAACAAAGCTTAAGAGTACATTTTGAAATGCTTGATTTTTGCCATGTATTGTGATGACTTACCAGATGGCTCTGAATTCATAACTGCTGTGGTTGAAATGTCTGCATGCAAAGATTTGGTTTCTAAAAAAAATATTTTACCAATCAAACACAAAGAAATAAAGTGGAAACACATTCATTTAAGTAAAGCATAACCATCCAGTACCATCAGTTTTACTTCATGTCTATAAACTAGGGGGACATAATCCCAAAAGGAAATGATATAAAATTGTCATGTAGACAAATACAATAATATTTGAGCTAGTACCAGATCCAGGGTTAGGTAAAAATTATTTATAACCACTAATTTTAAATTTAAAATACCTTGATATAAAAGTAATTGGTTATGAATTTCTAAAGAATATATATTACCCAATCAATAAGTTGAAGTAATTTATTTTGCCTATAGCTGAATCTGCCCCCCTGGTTTGAGCTGGGGTTAGGGTTAGGGTTAGGGTTAGGGTTAGGGTTAAGGTGAATATCTGTTCAAAATTTATGAGTCGTAGGCAGTTGTATAGCACTCAGTTATTTCAAATGAGTGATCTTTTAGAGATAACAAAAAATGTTTTGGTTTCATCCCTTAAATATCCTTCACACAAACCTTTTTTCACGCTTGAGACTAAATCTGTCATTAATTTATAAATACCTTTCCATTCCAAGTTCACTTCCATGGCATCATGCTCACTGCTCCCTTTGATTATGTAAATTATACTTTCACTTGAAAGCAAAGCCACCTTTCCATTTGCATGATGAACAAGAAGAAACAAATCATCAAATAATTCTGAACAATATCCTGTATTCATAAGCATTACAGACCATTTTACTTTAATTTTTTTGGTTTCAATGGAAAAAGTTTCAATAACAAGCTGTGATTTGTCCTCTTTAAAATAAAAACCTTTGATAGTGTTGTCAAAGGGAGTGTAAATGACTCGAGTGTATGCATTGATTCCTTTAACCTGTGGATGAAATTTTATCTTTTTAACAAAAGTTTTATCCAACTTAAAAATGATGAGTTGGTAAAATCGGCAAGATACATTTGTCAAATTGCTATATTTTCACAGGACGAAATGGACAAAACTTTTCACTTCATTATCAACTGGTTTACCTTTAAACTTTGGTGAAAAAGACTTGATAAGTTTACCTTTACTGTCACACACATATATATTGATTTCACTTGTATTGAAATAATTTGTGAACGTTGTGTGGAGATAACAAAAACATGGCAGCCATATTGGTCGTGGAGGTACAAAGCCATAGGGATTTATGTACGAAGATACTCAAAACCTGAGCTACTCAGACCGTGACAAGGGGACTTGGCCCAAGATGATGTAGAACTTACCAGGAATGACTTGTTTAATTTGTAAAATATTTAAAGGTCTTCCTAATTTTGTCATCTAGAGTTTAAACTTCCTTTTTTATGAAAAAAATACCGTGTGTATGTTTTTCTTCAACATTTGTAGGCAGTTTCCCCTTCCCAAGGACATGGGATCCCGACCAGTTCGAGCCCTTAAGGCCCGTTCACATGTTCCAATTTATCGGATCCATCTTTTGATTGTTTGTTCAGACGGTCCGATAATTTTGTTGATATTTATATTCGTTTAGATATTTAAAGTCGTGTGAGCAGCCATTTGTGCTATCCAGTACATTTATCGATATATTTTTCGTATTTTTGTTCTTCTTTCCAAGTCTTTTTCAAATCAATGTAATTTCACTTGTCGGCTTCCTTTGATCTTGTCGGATGAAAATAGAGCAATTTCTATTTCCATTGATGTTTTAGATAGACGGATCCGACTATCTGAAGCTCACTTTTTATATATGTTAAGACGATCCGTTTTTTAGGATCCGAAAAAGTCGGATCCTACAAATCGGATCGTGTGAACGGACCTTCAGTAGTTAGTTGCCCTGTCATTAACGTATTAAATATTCATTGTTAAAAATGCAGCATAAATCTTTTTATCACACATTTAACTAAGTGCGTACAGCATTTTGTAAATTACAATGTATAATTCAATTAAACATAAAAATTATTGCTTAACTTAGCGATAACTTAATTTTCCACGATGTAGTCTATAATCGCTCATCTTTTATTGTAGCTACTTTTTTGAATTTTTTCTTTTTTACATAAAGATATTGAGGATTTATTAGCAAATATTATGAGAAATTAACATTTCAATATGAAATCTTACACAAAGTAAGACAATTGTTATAAAATAAAAAATGTGATATAAATAGAGTGTTTTTACAAACACTGCTCTACAAAAACGGGAGGAAGGAGGGAGATCACACTAAAAGACGATTGATTACAAACTTAAAAAATGGTTTAGTAGTTTCAAGTGGTTTTAACACCACATAAGGTAAGGTGAGGACCTATGAGATTCACAAACGACAACAGGAACTGAACTTGAGGATAAGAACTCATAAATATGAATGCCTTTAAGATCAGTCAATGTTTCAAGTTTTCCTGAATGATCACAACTGTGAAAACGGTAATGATAATAACCACAATGTTCAATTATGAGAAATTTCTTCAGACCAAAGTGATAGATATAATCTTCCACCCATAAATTCAAATTCACTTTCGACTTCAAACAACCCTCCATTGAATAAATGTACAGAAAAGCATACCCACCTGAAATGATTTCGTTCTTATTCGTAATGACTATCCGTTGCGTAGGAAAAGTTTTTTGCTCAACTGTAAACTGCTTTATCAATTTTCCTTGAAAGTCATAAACAAACACACATTTGTTGCGTTTATCAAAAACCACAATGTTTTCTGCTGACACGAATAAACGAAACTTCTCAGAGCCTTTGTTAGTAAGATCCAAGGATATTTTACTTTTAACAAGAAAATGAGGATCCAACACCACTACATGAAAGTTAGAGGACGTTTTTCGATGGACAATGATGTACATGTCATCATTTTTATCTATAAAGCTGGCCTCTATGACGTCAGATTCAGGAAATTCATAGACGATTTCATCATCAGCATCTTTTCTCATAATCTTGATCAAATTTCTCTCTAGATCACAATAAATGAAGTCATTGCTACTGTTGCAATGAAGATGTGGTATATCGATATCCGTTTCCAATTCCAATTCATTTGGACCTTGGACCTCACTTTCCCAAGATTTTCTCTCCGAGATTTGACGCCAATTCAATATTGGATTAAATTGTTTGTTTTTTAGTTGAATGGTGGGCCAAACTAAAGCCATATGATAGGTTTTCCCAAACTTCATATTAAACTGATACAATAAGCGGTTAATAAACATCACTGATCGTATATTTTCTACACGATCTTTTTTATTGAACAATGACTTCACCCCACCATTGATGTAAACATTAAATATCTGAAGAATAGCGGGTAATGAATGAAGTTCATTTAAAATGGGCAAACACAATGTAATGACCGTTTCTGGACATTCCATGCATTCCAAAATTGTTGAAACAACTCGAATTTCGGCAGCAAAGATTCTATCTTCAATTGACAAACTTTCGTTATTGAATGCACGGGTTGCTTCTTTGCTAGCGTCTCGAAATCTTATGACAGCGGTTTTTAATTTAAAGGGGCATTCAATACTCAATGTCTTAAAAGCTTCATCAAGTTTGTGCTCTTCATCGAAGTCTTTAGATCTTTCACTGCTTTGGTTGCTTGAAATCAACGACGCGTCAATTTGACGTCCTTGAGTTAAATTTCTCAATCTTTCCTGTTCTCCCTCTTTTAGTTGTGCAGAGTTCTCGATACAATCAAGTAAAAGGTGAATTCCTTGTTTGAAGAAATCATAACTGCTGAGAAGATCTTTTCGTGACAGTCCGTCTAGTTTAGTTTTAATATCATTCAATTCTCTCACAACAATTTCTCGAAGCTTCGCATCCGTAACATCACCGTCTTTAAGATTTTCTGCTGTTTTATCTCGTATTTTGTTACATATTACACCAACACTCGATTTTAATATGGTAGAGATAAACGAAGACATATTTTTTAAAAGTTAATGTGATCTGATCTTACAATATCCTGTAGATAGGTTTGTCCAGAGCCCTCTATTAGCAAGAGTTGGGACAAACGGTCTGGGGCGAGCGCGGAGCCGCCATTTTGGTTCCTACTTGCAAAGTGAAACTATAATAATACTATTGGAAATTGGGTTTATATGCAAAAGAAGAAGGCAATTTAAGCTTATTCCATGGTAGTATCAAATATATTAGGAATAATAGCATGCTCTTTGCGTTTTTTTAACTATTTGCGGCAGACCTGATTTAATTTCATTGGTTTGAGCTTCGTGTGCGGTTTACTAGTTCGTGCTTCAAATTGATCGTGACCCATTGTAAGAAGTATTTTTCGTACGTGAACGTGTTTTCTCGGCTTATGTTCCGACTCTGTAACAAGTTTTCAAGATCTTTAAGCTTTGTGGCAAGCGACAATGTTATCCTGGCTCAATGTTATCCAGTGTTATCAAATAGTTGGACAAGACTTTGTTCGAAACTTCGAATCATAGTAATCATGCAGTTTTGGTCAGGAAAGATTTGTGTTCAAGATTTATAACAATTTAATGGCAGTGAGTGGTTTATGCCCCCCAATTTAATCCAAGTATGACATTTTTTATTCTGAAAGATCACAAAATTTTCTTGCTCAGCAGAAAATGACAGACTTTTTTACTTTTTACTTATTGAATGATTACGCAATGATTTGACCAAGATGCATTTGGCCTTAAACGTTTTATTCCTTTATATGAAGTTATTTCGCCTTTAACACTTTATAAATTATTAAAGTTTATTTCTAATAAAGTTTGTTAAGGATTCTGCTGAAAATTTTGGTGAAGCATTTCTTTAAAATGAATATATTATTTCTATAACATGAAACATTTCTGTTGTTGAAGAACAGTCTGTTTGCTATAAATGCTACTGTTTGTAGTCTTTTATACAGCATATGAGTCTGATCCAATCTTTAATTTAGCAAAGAGTTAAATTTATTGGTTGAGGAATGACAAAACTTCTGTATGTGTTTATTGATCAAACAGGGGTGTGTTGGAGGGGGCTCAACCCCGTTTGTTCAAATTCTATGCCTTGTATTGCCAGTGAAATATATATATCAAAAAGCTAGCAGCACATTAATATACATCAGAAAGCCAGCAATATTTTAATATATATGAGAAAGGTAGCAACAGTTGTAATATACATTAAAAAGCCCAAATAGCTGAAATTATGGAGATATGCCTCTGTGATCTTATAAACCAAAACCTACAATTAAAATATCATCGACAAGTCTAGAAGAGAAGTAATGTTCTACTTTGAGCTATAGAAGTAGGGTACATTTGTACAATTCATTACCAAAAAAGTATATTGTACTCAGCTGTTTCAGTGAATATCCTAATTATAATTACTTCATTTTTAAATTATGAAGTAAAAATACAAAATACAACATGGAAAATCATAAGAGTTTCTGTGATTTGGTGTAGTTCTTTGTTTTAGTGTGGAAGTGGCTGAGAATTGAGAGGTTTGTAGATTGACCAATTTCAGAACATAATGAGAAATCATCTTCGATTAAAAAACAAGCTTTGGAGTAAGAAAACTATTGAAACTGCATCAGCACGAACTTTGCAATGTTATTTGGCCCAAAAACGTTTCTCTACTTGAGTCAGTTAATTGAACCTTACATCAAAAGCAGTTCAGCACAACAATCACCGTACTCAATCCAAATTTCGCAAGTTCGACGTAAAGGCATTTCTTTCATTTTTTTCGTAATCCTCGATTCTTGCGATGTGTAATGACATTTATTAGCCGTCAACAATCAGTTATTACAAACTTATCCATAAAAAAACGCAATATTATCTCAAAATACTGTATTACTAGCAGCAATTGCTATATAAACACTAGCTCAAATTTGAAAACTAGGAACCAAAATGGCGGAAATTGATCAGGTGATCAATATTGCCCAATCAACGTTAGCTAAACGGAAAACAATAGATGTCCCAACTCTTACTAATAGAGGGCTCTGGGTTTGTCTACTACCGTGAAATTGGCACCACATTGGGCACAACAATCAACACAACATTCATCACAACATTCAACATCACATTCAACTAAAATTTATCATTCAAAATGATAAATCGAAAAATCGTCTTTAAAACACGTTTTCCATCAAATAAAACAGTAAAAAACAATTCTTAACTGTTTATTATTATTTTACTGTCCTTAACCATCACAAAAAATGTATAAAAGTCAAGAAATTGAAGAAAACACTAAGATTTATATTACAGTGTACTTTCCATTTCTCTTAATTACCGTATAACTTAAAAACTACACGGTAGAATTTTTTTAAACTTTGCCAGAATATAGATAATTATATTGCCTAAAATATATCCAAAATCTGGAGAGTGCACAAAAAAATAAGTTGTAGAAAATCATCTACAAAGTCGGATGACACGAATACGCGTAATATAATATTATATAATTAACTTCCTATATCCAGGTAACTTTGCAAACAAAGGCCTATAAATAAAAAACTACTCGGTAGAATTTTTTTAAACTTGGCCATATTGTAGATATTTTTATTGCCTGAAATATTTCCAAAATCTGGAGAGTGCACAAAAAATAAGTTGTAGAAAATCATCGGCAAAGTCGGATGACAAGAATACGCGTAATATAATATTATATAATTAACTTCCTATATCCAGGTATCTTTGCAAACAAAGGCCTGTAAATAAAAAACTACACGGTAGAATTTTTTTAAATTTGGCCATATTGTAGATATTCTTACTGTCTAAAATATATCCAAAATCTGGAGGTGGCACAAAAAATAAGTTGTAGAAACTCATCGACAAAGTCGGATGACACGAATACGCGTAATATAATATTATATAATTAACTTCCTATATCCAGGTAACTTTGCAAACAAAGGCCTATAAATAAAAAACTACTTGGTAGAATTTTTTTAAACTTGGCCATATTGTAGATATTTTTATTGCCTGAAATATTTCCAAAATCTGGAGAGTGCACAAAAAATAAGTTGTAGAAAATCATCGGCAAAGTCGGATGACAAGAATACGCGTAATATAATATTATATAATTAACTTCCTATATCCAGGTATCTTTGCAAACAAAGGCCTGTAAATAAAAAACTACACGGTAGAATTTTTTTAAACTTGGCCATACTGTTGATATGTTTATTCTCTAAAATATATCCAAAATCTGGAGAGTGCACAAAAAATTAGGTTGTAGAAAATCATCTACAAAGTCGGATGACACGAATACGCGTAATATAATGATGTATAATTAACTTCCTATACTAGGTAACTTTGCAAACAAAGGCCTATATATAAGAAACTAGACTTTAGAATTTTTTTCAAACTCAAGTATGTTATAGAATTTTATATTGTCTAAAATATATCCAAAATTTAGAAAGTGCACAAAAATATAAATGATAGAAAAACATCGTCAAAGTTGGATGACTCAAATTATATAACATTATATTACGCGTAATCTTGTCATCCGAATTTGCCAATGATTTTCTATAACTTATTTTTTTGTGCACTCTCCAGATTTTGGATATATTTCAGGCAATAAAAATATCTACAATATGGCCAAGTTTAAAAAAATTCTACCGTGTAGTTTTTATTTACAGGCCTTTGTTTGCAAAGATACCTGGATATATATAAATTATATAATATATTCATGTGTCCGACTTTGTAGATGTTTTCTATCATTTATTTTTGTGCACTCTCCAGATTTTGGATATATTTTAGGCAATATAATTATCTATATTCTGGCCAAGTTTAAAAATTCTGTAGTTTTAAATAATAAGAGAAATGGAAAGTACACTGTAATATAAATCTTAGTGTTTTCTTCAATTTCTTGACTTTTATACATTTTTTGTGATGGTTAAGGACAGTAAAATAGTAATAAACAGTTAAGAATTGTTTTTTACTGTTGTATTTGATGGAAAACGTGTTTTAAAGACGATTTTTCGATTTATCATTTTGAATGATAAATTTTAGTTGAATGTGGTGTTGAATGTTGTCATGAATGTTGTGTTGATTGTCGTGCCCAATGTGGTGCCAATTTCACGGTAGTATTTCCAATATTTGTGACAAAAATGTAGAGGAGGAAGAAAGGAATAAGACCATCGAAGGCCCTTTGTGCATTTCCTCCACCTGGCCCTGCCGAGAAATTTCAAATTGAAGGTTTCCACTATGCTGATGAATGAAGTATTATAATTTAGGTATAAAGTAAATGGTTTGAACCCAGGAGTATCGTTACATGTTTGTAAATATAGATTGTCCTCCAGGTTGGTATAGTCTTGAGAAGGACTGTTTTTGTTGTTGTTGACTGATGTTTCGACAACCTTAGCGGTAGTCATCTTCAGAGTCAAATGAGGAGTAAACGTCAGGTTAGCCGTATTTGTTATCTGGTTCCAGATAACAAATTAATTTATTACAAAAACAACAGATTTACAAAGAAACAAATAATTATGTTTTAAAATATAAATGTGGCTTGGTTATTACACTGGTTATAATGTAACTGTAATTAATTACATGAATAGCTTGTGTAATGCAGTGGTGAAAGTAGCTATAGCAAAAAGTTTTGCTATGTTAATATTTAAGAATGAATTTTTTAAATAGTACAAAATTTGTCTTCACTGATTCAACTTCATATTATATGGGCATGGCAAAACCCATTGCCATAGCTAACTTCACCACTGACATTTTTTGCAAATCTATACTGATGTTCCTTTACAAGTACTTGTTTCCTGGGTGAACATGATTTAGAAATGTTCTTTTGAAGATTCTCGCCATGATGTACAAGTTCAATCTCCTCAGTTTTGCAAGCATTCACAACTTCAGCAAGTATTTTATCAACATACTGGTACTCTTTTTTTTCTTTTATTGCTTCTTTGTTTTAGCAAAAATCATTTTGTAACGGTCTTGCCCTTTGTTTGTCCTTTACTTAACGACTGCTTTATCACGGTTAATATTATTGCTGTGATCTAATGCTGCTAACTGAATGCCGGCTACCATTCCAGGAAATGAAAAATGCTCTCATTTTGGGCAGTATTTCAGTAATAGGGAATGGTAAAGCATTGATGGAAATATGTGTTCCCCCTCCAGAAATGCTTGTTGGAAATATTTCCACCAATTTGTCTGCATTCTTGTTACAACTTGCAGAGCACCACCAAAGATGATTAGAAATGGACTTAATCCAATGCATCAAGTCATCATCTCCCTTAATGTTATCCTTTGTTAGTTTTTTTGTTACCAGTTTAGACCAGGGGTCTCCAAACTACGGCCCGCGGGCCATGGCTGTAAAGTTTGGAGACCCCTGGTTTAGACAAATGCCACACATCGTAGCACTGGCAATCGAAACATGCCTATCTGTTGTTATTTGTTTAACAAGAACTAGCTTTTCAACTTCAGACAGACATCTTTCAAATGCTTTTTTCTACATATTATTAGAAGAACTGACTTCAGTACTTTGCACAACATTTAAAGTTAATATTTTACCAGAGTCAGCCATCATTGTGTAAGTACCATAATTGGCATTATGCCCTGGGCTATCACATCGACCATCACCATTCACATTAAGACTACCAGACTTCTTAGCTTCAGCAATAACAGCTGATTTCTCCTCTTTACAAGCCTCGTCAACAACAGGAAAAAGATACTGCTTTTGAAAGCTGTAGAAACTGGTTTTTCCAATAAATTCTGAGATTCATGAAAGATACAAATTGGCTAATCCTTTCATAAGTGTTTCCACTAAATAAAGTGGATGCAGCGAAAAGCAAATTTCCAGGTGGGACATTTCTTATGAGTGTTTGAAATCTCCATGTTGTGTGATGACCATTTATACAAAAAAAGATTAAATGATAGCAAACTACGTACAGTGTTTTCTTCACATGCAATTACTGTCTCTCCACAAGAAAGACACTTTGAAAGAAGACTGATAAGACTGAAATTCTCGTTTTCTTCACGGCAAGGTGCTGAAATGCTCGTTTTGCCTTTCTGCCTTTTCAACTATATTGGGACCATAGATTATTTGTTCCCAGCTTTGTCATAATTCTTCTAACACTGTTTGCACAGGTGTTTGCGCACAGCGCTACCAAAAACTGCAGCTAGTAAAGTGAGTAAAAGATAAATTATATGGAAAAGTTCAATTTAGACAAATATAAATAACCATTTTGATCTCGAATTGCAAAACAAAACCATCCAAAGTGAATGGTGAGAGCTTTTAGAAAGACTAGTTTCAGCACAAATAAAACGACACACTTCTAAGAGCCGTTTGAAGTATCGTAACGTATTTAAATCAATCAGAACACGACAATGCTCTCACAAAAAACACGATGCTAGATTCATATAGTTTAATCAGATAATCTGACCCCCTAACGTCACGAAATTCGTCATTAAAATTACGTTCTAGACTTTGACAAACGTGCATGTTTTCAAGCTTCAAACACAAATGGTAGAAAAAAATTCAATCTTATGTTACGTAATTGCATATGAAACTATCGTTTTCACGTTTCCAAACAGATAAAGGGGAAGGGCTATGCCTTCCTTTGTCACATATTTTTACGTAACACTTGAAAGAGTCATGCATAAAAATCAAGCAGTGCCAATAAATATTACTAAATACGTATGGGTGGTTAACTTTCCAAAACTTACCAACTTTCTCTAGACTTTTCTTCATAAAGACTAGAGGATAGGTCCTCAAGTTCTTCAACCGAATCTAAGAGATTAGGTACAACATCTTCCAAAATTTCGTGCTCGTCTACACCTTTCGTAGCGCTTAACAGAGCACGCAATATTGACAACGCTTCTTCTTGCTTATCAATTAATGTTTCCAGTTTAACTGATCTTGTGAAGTCTACAAGATAGGTAAGAAAATAATAGAATAACTTATGTATAACCTACGTAATATCTTAAAAATATAAAACCTTACAACATGCTAACAAGAAAATTCAAACAAAAACTCGCATCAAATTGCTAATTAAATACGCATACATAATAACAACGCTATTCAAAAACTATATGCTGTAGAAAAGGTACCATTAATGTTTGGTTGAGAACGTCTTCCTGCAGGTGTTATGTTCATAAAACTTGTCGAAGGCGTTTCGTGCGATGAAAGGTCATGCGCATCTGCAAAGCAATCAGGTGTTGCAGTTAGTTGTGAAGAAAATAAAAACATTTCAAACAACACGAAATGAACGTAAATGAAAACGTAACAACAAGACATGCAATAATGAATTGTAAGAAAAGCTTGCCTAAGACATCACTGTTTCGTTGAGAATGTCTTTCTCTTGTTGTGCCAGTTATAGGAATTCCTTGTGAAGAAACATTGCCCTTTATCTACAGAGAAGACATGTACTGGGTTTAACATATATCTTTATTGCACGCACGAACGTCATTTAAATTAAGGCACTACAAGTTTCAAAAGTCAGAAACAGAAAGGTGACTAAAATAAAAAACCTCGAGAAAGTTTCATTTAGTAATTTGATAGCAAACGCAGAGAATTAGATTTGAGCGAATGTATTTTGAATAAATCGTGGTGAACACAACTGCAATTTTAACTATAACTAACATTTTTTCAACTAATTACAACAACATTTTAAAGGACCAACGCCAACAGCACCTGTAGAACATACATAAGCCCTATAATGCAACCATGGGCGTAGAAAAACAGTAAATGTACAATACGAATGTAAAAGTTAGTTAAAAAGAATCAATCAAAATTATTTCAACATTTTAGTCGACATATTATATGAAAGTTGCTGATTAGTCAGTTCTGATGACAGAAAACTTACAGTACCGACCACGAGTAACATGACTTGACTCGCGAGTATCGAATGGCGAGTGACTCGCGATGCAGTTGCCAGTCACTCTCGAGTGTGAGAAGTTTGCGAGTGAATAAAATAACTCGCTGTTTGCGAGTGAATCGAAATAACTCGCAAAAATTTCTTTCTCCAGTATTTGAAATTGACAAACATAATCTTAAGTGTAGTGGCGTCGTAAAGCGGTAGAGACCATAGAGAAATGTAAAGTAAATGGCACGCAATCAATGAGTAAATTGAAATAGCGCTCAAACATTTTCTTCTAACAGTCTTAGATTATGGACATATATAATCTTAGGAAAGAATGCATTCTAAAAACGAATATTCTTTAAAGCCAAATATTTAAGAAATGTAGTTATGCGATGAGTGTACGTATAATCTTTTGACTTCGATTCTGAAAGAACTTTGTTGACCTGGAGTTTTGGATATAGTCGCTATTGATATAAAGGCCTTACTATACATGTGGTTTCATATCGTTCTTGCTATTAAAGGTTTATGGCCTTTGTCATTAGGTCCCGAGATATTCCTTCAAATGAATAGTCGTTTTGCTCCCATGTTTCATAGAAAGATATAAAACCGTTGCATTCAAAATGTTAAACGAATTTTACCTGTCACTACACTTAAGATTATGTTTGTCAATTTCAAATACTGGAGAAAGATATTTTTGCGAGTTATTTCGATTCACTCGCAAACAGCGAGTTATTTTATTCACTCGCAAACAGCGAGTTATTTTATTCACTCGCAAACAGCGAGTTATTTTATTCACTCGTCAACTTTTCGCACTCGAGAGTGACTCGCAACTGCATCGCGAGTCACTCGCTCAATCGCAACTCGTCACTCTCGAGTGACTCGCAATTGACTCGCGAGTCAAGTCATGTTACTCGAGGTCGGTAATGTACCACTACGCTATGTCGGTGTCCTACTAGTAGATGGGGAAATTAGTGCATGATCCTTTGTGTTTAGGATTTCTGTTGCTAGTTCACCGTCATATAAATCTAGATCAACATTATATTAGGATGAAAAGAGAAATTTTATACATGCATGTTTCTGTCAAAAAATTGTCCACTTGTACAAGGATTATAATTGCGCTTATACCTTTTTCTGCAAAGGAGATCAGCTCGCTGTACACCGGCAAATCTAAAAAGCAAAATCACTCATTAGATTTAAATGCAACGTAGCAATATGTGAAAAACTGCACTCCTAAAGCAATGGACTATTGCATTGTAACTACAGTACTTACTTCTAGAATTTGTTGATAAGATTTCAATGACAGCTGTTATCATAATACTTTCAGAAGATTCCAATAAATACTTATTGTTCATACTAAAAGATGCGTAACGTGGAGCAGGAGGTAACTGAGGGACTCTGTGTTGAATTACGGGTTCATCACTGTCATCATCGTCTGATGCGAAAAAATACCCGATCATCGCAATAACCATGTTTATTGAGTACTCAAGCTATACTAAAAATACTAAAATATGGTTAATTTAATGCTTGCCAAAGATGTAATATTTAAGTAGCTACGGCAATACATTCAGTCTTAATCCTATCTTTTCCCATCTTAAGGAAGAAGACATAGCCAAATTCAAAGAATTTATTGTGTTTCGCACACAAGACCCTTCATTGACTACAGCCATTTACGCACGTAGGTAGTTATAACAGTAGAAATAAAACAGTTTTCTGTGTTACTGTGTACGTAAGTTGTTGTGATCGGAGAGAAATATCTAGAATACTATATAACCTACTTTCTATGTCACTGTAATCTGGAAATTCTTCCATACTCCTGTTGAGATGAGGACGTTTTCGTGGCTTGTCGTTGATTGACTCATCATCGGATTCAATGTTTGAAGTGGCAATGGCTCTTCTAGCAAACTTTTGGGCACTTTTAAAGTTGTCTACGTAAAAGAAAGGTTTAAATTTAGAAAAAAGAGCATTAAATCGTTTATAGCACTTTTGAGGCTTCAGTGGAGAAAATGTGAAACAGCTGGCAGCAAGTTTATGAAAAATTCTGAAAATAAAAAATTGCTACACCATTAGGACATATAGCAATGATTATTTAGAATCAAAATGGAAATAACTGGAAATCCAAAAACAAATGTAACCTAAATGAAAAATTCATACCATAATCACAAGACATCATATTAACCTGCAAATGTGAATATTCTGACTTTATGTTTTTTCCAACCATTTTTGTGCGGCAATTCCAGTTTCTTTACCCAAGCTGAGACGTTTGTCCTCGGCCAATAGCAACACAAAACCTAAAGTGTAATTAAATGAAAGTTAGTTGCATTGACCTGTACGTATAAACTCAGGAAGATCTTTATGATATGCCATATTACATTCTAGGGGAATCCATTGTCCTTTACAGATGTCATGTGCACAGGTCAAGGCGAAATAGTTTTCATCTTTACGACAGAACATTGTCAGCTCACAGCTACAACAAATGTTAACACTAATATTTTGAGGCGTATTTGATAAACGAAGATGACCATAATATGTTGTTAACTTTAATGGTTTCGATGCTGAACTTCGTAATTCGATGAATCTTGAAGCTTCCCATTTAAATTCAGAATCAATCTCTTCCTTTATTTGGTCTTCCGACATTTTTTCCCGTTTATCAACTGTGATAAATAAATGTTCATAAGGTATCTCTTGGTTTGGAACAGCTATTCCAACAGGTCCGTTTATCCACACGAAACTAAACAGGGCAAAATAAATAAATATAAGAAAGTGAAGCTGATTATTTGTCCGTGATACAAAAATATCTTCCTTAAAATTTTGAATAGAAAGAAGATTTTTGGAGTCCTAACATGATTTGTCGTTGTTGCTCTTGTATTGACGTAAATGTGTGAGTTTTTTTAGATGTTTTTTTTAAGAAATGGCAAGTGCTTTTGCCAATATAACGGTAGTTAACACCAGCACGGAGAGGATACTTAAAAACCACTCATGACTTGTAATGAAGAGTGTGATCTGTATTCTTTATTGACAAATCTAAATTTAACATAGACCTTTCAAATGGGTAAAACACTCTTTATGGAAACGAACGATAAACATTAACTAGCCTAATAATTCTTCATCTTTCAAAAACAATTCTTAAACACGGTTGTGTTGGTGCTATGTATGTTAAATGTGATTGAATGATTTTTAGTCTCGTGACTTAAAACAAATGCAATGTCCCTCACCATCACACACACACGGAGACAAGTGAAAAATGTTTTCCCGCTCAGTTTAATATCATAACAAATAAAACAGCTATAGAGCTGAAAACTAAAAAACATTTCTCGAGCTATTGAACGACAAAACTCAACTATTAATAGAAAGAAAGAAGTTAGAAAACACTCGAAGAAAAATGCTGTGGTCACCTTTACAGCATTTTGCTATTGTTGCCAGCTTATTTTGATCTCCCACGAAAGACGTTGATTATAATGAAAAGCTGTCGAAAATTTGAAATTTATTATCTTTGTTCCTATGTAACCAAAAACTTAATGCGGAGCCTTCGAGAAATAATGCGTTTTGTTTTTTGATTTACACATCAAGTAAATACTGACCGTGCAATCTTAATTGTGATTGGATTAAAGGCAATAGAAAATTATCGATGTTTTGTCACGTGAAAAATATTGAATACTATCTGTAGATGACGTAATGGTTCATGAGAAAATTGTAAACAAAATTGGCAAAATCGCGCTAAAGATTTGCAGGAGTTTACAAACTGTTTTCGCTTGAACTATTAAAAATAAATACGTAAAAATACACGGGGAGTGTTACATTGTCAGTCAGGAAAGTTGTCATCGAGTACTTACGGGAAAAGACGAAATGGATCCAAAAAAACTATTGCCAAAGCACGGAAAACTTTATGAAAGCCTCTGTATTCATTATTCAGACCTTGGTCAATTATATCCGCCCGAGCTTTGCTTCGGTAGGTAATATTGACCTCTGTTTGAATAATTCTTGATATCATACTCAACTTCATCCAAGAATTATGATCTAAACGAAGATATGATCTTCGCACTTTGCTGGAAAATGTAAGCAATTGTCTCATGAACCTGAAAAATTCTGGTGACTCAACGGGATCCCATTAGCAAAAAATGTTTTGGTTTCTTCTCTTAAATATTCATCACTCAAACCTTTCTTCACACTTGAGACTATGTCTGTCTTTAATTTATAAATACCTTTCCATTCCAAGTTCACTTCCATGGCATCATGCTCACTGCTCCCTTTGATTATGTAAATTATACTTTCACTTGAAAGCAAAGCCACCTTTACATTTGCATGATGAACAAGACGAAACAAACCATCAAATAATTCTAAACAATATCCTGTATTCATAAGCATTACAGACCATTATATTTTAATTTTTTTGGTTTCAATGGAAAAAGTTTCAAAAACAAGCTGTGATTTGTCCTCTTTAAAATAAAAACCTTTGATAGTGTTGTCAAAGGGAGTGTAAATGACTTGAGTGTATGCGTTGATACCTTTAACCTGTGGATGAAATTTCATCAATTTAATAAAAGTTTTATCCAACTTAAAATGATGAGTTGGTAAAATCGGGCAGATGAATTTGTCAAATTTGCTATATTTTCACAGGATGATAATGGACAAAACTTTTCACTTCATTATCAACTGGTTTACCTTTAACCTTCGGTAAAAAAGACTTGATAAGTTTACCTTTACTGTCACACACATATATATTGATTTCACTTGTATTGAAATCATTTGTGAACGTTGTGTGGAGATAACAAATACATGGCAGCCATATTGGTCGTGGATGTGCAAAGCCATGGGGATTTATGTAAGAAGACACTCAAAACCTGAGCTGCTCAGACCGTGACAAGGGGACTTGGACCAATTAGCTAAAAGACTTCCCTCTCAAAAAGATGAAGTAGAAATTACCAGGAATGACTTGTTTAATTGGTAAAATATTTAAAGGTCTTCCTAATTTTGTCATCCAGAGTTTAAACTTCCTTTTTTATGAAAAATATACCGTGCGTATGTTTTTCTTCAACATTTGTAGACAGCCTCCCCCCCTTTCTTAAGGACATGGGATCCCAACCAGTTCGAGACCTTATGGCCCGTTCACATGTTCCAATTTGTCGGATCCGTCTATTTATTGTTTGTTCAGACGGTCCGATAATTTTGTTGATATTTATATTCGTTTAGATATTTAAAGTCTTGTGAGCAGCCATTTGTGCTATCCAGTACATTTATCGATATATTTTTCGTATTTTTGTTCTTGTCTCCAAGTCTTTTTCAAATCAATGTAATTTCACTTGTCGGCTTCCTTTGATCTTGTCGGATGAAAATAGAGCTAGTTCTTTTTCCATCCGACTTTTTAGATAGACGGATCCGACTATCAGAAGCTCACTTTTTATATATGTTAAGACGAGCCGTTTTTTAGGATCCGAAAAAGTTGGATCTGACAAATCGGATGGTGTGAACGGACCTTCAGTAGTTAGTTGCCCTGTCATTGACGTATTAAATATTCATTGTAAAAAATGCAGCATAAATCTTTTTATCATACATTTAACTAAGTGCGTACAGCATTTTGTAAATTACAATGTATAATTCAATTAAAGATAAAAATCATTGCTTAACTTAGCGATAACTTAATTTTCCACGATGTAGTCTATAATCGCTCATCTTTTATTGTAGCTACTTTTTTGAGTTTTTTCTTTTTACATAAAGATATTGAAGATTTATTAGTAAATATTACGAGAAAATAACATTTCAATATGAAATCTTACGTAAAGTACGACAATTGTTATAAAATAAAAAATGTAATATAAATAGAGTGTTTTTACAAACACTGCTCTACAAAAACGGGAGGAGGGAGATTACAGTAAATAACGATTGATTACATACATTGAAAATGGTTTAGTAGTTTCAAGTGGTTTTAACACCACATAAGGTAACGTGATAATATACGAGCTGAGTATTTACGAGCTGAGTAACAATAGACAACAGGAACTGGATTTGAGGATAAGAACCCTTCAATATCAATGTCTTTAAGATCAGTCAATGTTTCAAGTTTTCCTGAAAGATCACAACTGTGAAAACGGTAATTATAACGTTCCCGCCCTTCAATTATGACAAATTTCTTCAGACCAAAGTAATAGAAAAAATCTACCATACTTAAATACAAATTCACTTTCGACTTGAAATAACCATCCATTGAATAAATGTACAGAGAGGCACGGCCACATAAAACGATTTCGTTCTCATTGGTAACGACTATCCGTTGCCTAGGATATTCTATTTGCTCAACTGTAAACTGCTTTATCAATTTTCCTTGTAAGTCATAAACAAACACACAGCAACCATATGCATCAAAAACCACGATGTTTTCTGCTGACACGAATAAACAAAGTCTCGAAAAGATATTGACTTCAAGATCCACGATGTTTTCTTCTGACACGAATAAAGGAAAGTTCCCAGAGTCTTTGTAAGTAAGATCCAAGGATATTTCACTTTTAACAAGAAAATGAGAAGCGAACACCACTATATGAAAGTCAGAGGACGTTTCTCGTTGGACAATGATGTACATATCATCATTTTTATCCATAAAACTAGCCTTTATGACGTCACCTTCAGGAAATTCATAGGCGATTTCATCATCAGCACCTTTTCTCATAATCTTGATTAAATTTCTCTCTGGTTCACAATAAATTAAGTCATTGCTACTGTTGCAATGAAGATTTCGTATATCGAAACCCCTTTTGAATTCCAATTGATTTGCACCTTGGACCTCACTGTCCCAAGAATTTCTCTCCGAGATTTCACGCCAATTCAATATTGGATTAAATTGTTTGTCTTTTAGTTGAATGGTCGGCCAATATAAAGCCATATGATAGGTTTTCCCAAACTTCATAATAAACTGATACAATAAGCGGTTAATAAACATCACTGATCGTACATTCTCTACACGATCTTTTTTATTCAACAACGACTTCACCCCACCATTGATGTAAACATCAAATATCTCACAAATAGCAGGTAATGAATGAAGTTTCTCCAAAAATGACAAACACAATGTAATGGCCGTTTCTGGACATTCCATGCATTCCAAAATTGTTGAAACCACTCGAATTTTCGATGCAAAGATTCTATCTTCAATTGACAAACTTTCGTTATTGAATGCGTCAGTTGCTCGTTCGCCAGCCTTTTTAAATTTCTCGACAGCAGTTTTCAATTGACCAGGACTTTCAATACTTAATGTCTTAAAAGCTTCATCAAGTTTGTGTTCTTGATCAAAGTCTTTAGATCTTTCACTGCTTTGGTTGCTTGAAATCAACGATGAATCAACTTGATTTCCTTGAGTTAAATTTCTCAATTTTTCCTGTTCTCCTTCTTTTAGTTGTTGAGAGTTCTCGATGCAATCAAGTAAAAGGCGAATTCCTTGGTCTAAGAAATCATAACTGCTGAGAAGATTCTTTCGTGACAGTGCTTCGAGTTTCGTTTTAATATCATTCAATTTTCCCACAACAAATTCTCGAAGCTTCGCATCCGTAACATCACCGTCTTTAAGATTTTCTGCTGTTTTATCTCGTATTTTGTTACATATCACACCAACAGTTAATTTTAATATGGCAGAGATAAACGAAGACATATTTGTTAAAAGTTAATGTGATCTGATCTACAAAATCCTGTAGATAGGTTTGTCTACATATCAGATGAGTTTCTTACACGTCATATGATTTCGCAGTTGGTTGGTTTTATGTTATGTTGTTATCCATATAAACAATGTTTCAAGTATGCAGTACACGTGAACAGCATGTGAAACACAATTGACGCTACACAAAAGTCGATATTCTTAGCTAAGAAGCTTTAAAAATGCTTGTCTAAAAAATCCATAGAATACATAATCAATGACACGAACGAGAAATTTAAAGAGATGTATAAAATTTTCTTTTTTTGTTTTAATACTTACCTATTTATCTATACTGAAATAGAAAACTACTTTTTCTAAATAGCCTATATTTTCTATTTTGCATTCAAATAAATAATAAAATACTAATGTTATATTTTAATAACATATGTAGGTATTTGTTTTTTGTTTGCAAAACAATGTTCTTAAAATTTGAGGAAATGTATAATGAAATTTTAATGGAACACTTAACAAATGAGACAGTAATGAGACACTTAACAAGCAGAATCATGACGTTAAAATTATATTAAAATTTCGTCAAGAATCATTGAAAAAGTTGTTTCAATTTAACTTAAATTTCAGATAATGCATTATATTTTTCTATTTAAATTATTAAAGAAAAAACACTGGAAAAAATAATGTACGCTGTGCAACTTCAGGGCAAAGGTAAATTGTTTGTAAAAGCTTCATGATATTTTAAATTTATTAATGAAAAGTTCATACATCATCACAAGAATAACCACCGTAAAATAACTTACTTCTAAAATGTAAACTGTTTTTCAAAGCTACATCATATTTAACATTTTAGTAAAAACTTTATTCATAAAGGCAACAATAACCACAAAAAAATAAATCATTCATAAAATTTTGATGTAAAATCAAAACACAGAGGGCAAACATGTATGTTATACACAGTTTAGCTACTTAACAAAATTTACAATTTTTAAATTGCTTTTGTAAAAGATCAAAATCAACGATTCTCAAAGCCGTCGTGAACAGGTGTTGTGAGGGCGTGGGGTGAGGGTGGTACCTCCTAAAAAATTATGTTTTTCACAAAATGAAATTTTGTCGAAACATCAGTTGTTGGTAGTCGTGAGATCGAATATCTGATTTACCAAATTTTACGAACATTGACAATAATACGTATTTAAAAAGTACCTCCTATTATTGATGTAAAGTCTAATATAAATGTAAAAAGTCTAGACTTGTAAATAAGTTAGAATGATTGCAGTTAAAAAGCAGAGTGCCGTATCACGAACGCTAATTGGGGAGGGGGGATGGGTGTTTATTCATTTGTTCAATAATGGCCGACCGATTTCTTTCGAAATGCAAGTCGGTCTTTAAGAGAGCCAGCCGAGCACAGATGAATATAGGAATAAACACCTCACAGTTAATATTCCAGCTACGGTCCTGACAAGAAATGTAAACTAAATTCATTCTTCTGAGAGGATAATAAATAAACAATGAAAGATGGCTGTTTAAGACTAGATTCATCATTCTAATATACTAATATAAAGATCAGTAATATTTTGCATTTTAAAAAGATCTTGTTAAACCATAGCATCCCTTAATTTTCAACTCAGATCCGTCTTATCAAAATGTACTACCTCTATAATTATTGGGAAAAACGATGCAGCTCTTTTCTATGCAACACTCTCTAATCATTATGTCCGTCAAAGCCTAGTGTACCTTTTACAATGTTACCATAGTAACTTTGAGCAGAACAAACACATTTTTCGAGAAAATTTCATTTTTACACCCCTCTGCACCAAACTCTTCGCAATGGCTGCGATGATTCTAGCAACATGTGATATGTTTTTATCCGTTTTCTTTTTTATTTTACTGTAAGCAACCATTTTGACAAGACTTTTGTATCTTAAAGGAAAGTGTCAAAATTTTAAAAAAGGATTATTGTGCATACTGCCCGGGAAGTAAAACTGCTACAGGAAGTTTTGTCTTTAGTTCGAAAGGCCCTTGTGCAGCCTTTCTTAGAAAAGAGAAGCATTTTTTTAAACTTTGCCAAAACTTCCTGGTGTTTGGTATGTAAATCTACTCAAATCAACCGCAGGCGTATAACACCTACGTTATACAAAACTGCCGGATGGGGCAACTTTCTCACCAAGATTTCCCATACTGAGATCTTATATATGTAAGTGTTAATCATATCAAACAGCAGCCTCGTTCCATGCGCTTCGATGCTTTGAATTATTTGATGTTTTATAAATTGAATGTCACATGACGTGCGTGGGCGTCGCGCATTTGCGTGGCTACACAGTATACAAACCATAAAAATATTAAGCTTCATGTAGAGATCGAAATGGTATTTTAGTAAAATGTCCATAATTTCTTAAAAGCACGATGGATATCAGACATTTTAAATGAACGACGAGTTTTTTTATCGTAAACATGTTTCGGCATGCTTATGCCATCTTTAGTACATAGAATGAAGGTGATTATGCTATTTACATGATATATATATATATGTGTATGTGACTATTTTGACACATTCATGTTTTCGCATCTTAGGTACCGCCAACTCTCCTTTTTCCCTCAAACTGAAGGAAGCGCTCTACATTAAAAAGCTCAAACCAGACCTCAACAAACAAATATACCACATTAATACAATATTTAACCTGTAATATAATATCTAACACTAATTCTGTAATTTAATACACTAAACGATAGTCACATACACATATATATATCATGTAAATAGCACAATCACCTTCATTCTATGTACTGAAGATGGCATTAGCATGCCGATACATGTTTACGATAAAAAAAACTCGTCGTTCATTTAAAATGTCTTATATTTTAGTAAAAATAGCAACGAAATTTCTAAAGGAGCATTCACCCGACAAAATTGCTCTAATTACTAAAATTCATTTAAAAAATCAAGCTTTGCTAACAATAACATTGAAAATGACAAATCAATAAAATGATTCTGTGGTTTTTCTGCATGGATATAACGGAGCATGTAATAATGTAATTCAACACCAAGTATATTCACAAATGGGAAGCTTTTTGTGAGGTTGATGTTTACGTGTGAAAATGTTATTCAAAATCATCAATATTCACATATGAAATTCTTAGCTCTCATGGCGAAAAAAGCGGAATGTTATTTTTGCAACAAAGAATGAAATGCATTAAACGTGGGTGTTGAATGTCGAACACCAAGAACTGTTATCTCTACAATTTTCTCACGCAACCGCAATTTTTGTCCACTAAAATTCTCCATTCAATATGTTAGGGAAGCTAAACAGGGAAGCCTTCCTTATGTCCACCACCATCTGCAGTTCTTTCTCATATAAGAAATACATCTCACTCTGACGATTTTAATGATTTCTCAATTCTCTCTTCCTCCTCCGACAATTATGACCTTATGATTCATGAAAGCCTTCTTATATCCAAACTTAAACCCTCTCTTAACACCAAAGTCAACTCAATCCCCCTTCACCTTCTTTAATATACCGCCATTCTCGCTTAATTCCGTCATCTAAACTTCCTACTCCCCTCACATGTAATTTAACATCCCGTAATATATACTTGTATTTAAAACCTCGTGTATATAAATTAACTCAATTAATCTGAAGATGTCTTAAGTTAAAGACGAAACGTTATTAATAAATCCTTATCTATTTTATTATTGTGATGGTTTTTTTAAAAGTCTTACGTTGGGCTATTATGTTCATATTAAACGAGAATTTACTAAATTTTCTTGTTACCTTGATGTATCAACGTTTTTCTTATGGTCAAATTAAACACCGGCGTTTAATCAAAAACAAAGTTTTTGTTGTTGACTTATACATACGTAAGTGAAATATTAACTTATTTGCTCATACCTTTTTATTTGCTGAAAAGAACGTTTCTTTAAATCACAATCATTTAGCTCGATCAAATCGTTCCAACTTTTCACCAAAGTTGATGATGGCCAACATGATATGACGTTTGAAGTTTTGTACAGCGCTTTAAAGAAAATGTACTTTATTTAAGTGCATATAATGACATTGTATCTTCAATAAACAATTTATGATTGGTTATATGGTCAATGGCTAAATTAGTATGAAAATAGAAATAGCATTTCTAAAATACCATATTCAGCCAACTTTGAAATCATTTAAAGAATCAAGGTATGTCAAACATAACAACATATCAATAATCTCTTATCTCCAAGGAAAAGTTTTAAAACATGAGTAAGTTAAAATGCGTTTTCACAATTTTCCACAAGCGCTACAACAGGCAGTTATATTGTCCAAAGCAATAAACGATATATATCCAGGGAAGCTGATGTACATATTTTTAACAATATATTGTCGTATAATGAATCAATACCTAAACAGATATTATACAGGAATGAATTATTTGAACATCTTGTGAAATACTATTTCTGAAAGAAATATTTTGACAAAAACAGTAGATTTTCATGACCGTCTGGTATCTACATTATTTTGTAATCTGTTAGTGGTGTCCAACAAACTTCTCCGTGTAACTATTTCAGACAGTGTCATAAATTTTGTCTGTGTTATTTTAAAGTTCAATCTCGGGGCCGTAACCGTATTTATATAAAGTTAATTTGTTCTACAAAATCCTGAAAGTATATTTTTCTATACATGAGATGAGTTTCTTACACGTCATATAATTTTGCAGTTGGTTGGTTTTTTGTTATGTTGTTTTTCACATAAACAATGTTCAACTGTGTAATACACGTGAAGAGCATGTGAACGGCAATGAACGCTACACAAAGATCGCTGTTCTTTTTGCCGAGAAGCCTAGGAAATGCTTGGCAAAAAATTGGACTAGATTTTAACCAACATAACGTATGGTCGAACAGCTAGTATTATTCTACAATATTCAATGGCGTGAAAATGAAACTTAAAAAAGATGGATAAAATTTTTCTTTTTTTTGTTTCAATACTAACCGAATTATTAATATTGATAAAGCTAAGTATTTTTTAAATATATTGTTTTAGCTATTTTACAACCAAATTAAAGCACTTAACCTAAAGTGAAGCTTCAATGCACGATCACCATATGCTAATGTATTTGTGCATACTGTACATGTTTTGCTGTTAGACTTCATGTAAAATTCGAGGGAGAAGAAAAACCTTTGAGCATGTTACTAAGACATGTAATATATTCAACACTATTTAAAATTTTTATTCACCCGTGCACTTGGCATGCTGTAGACATTGAAATTATTACAATTATAAGCCAATTTATGAAGGTAAACTTATATGTATTAGAGAAAGTAAACTTATATGATTATTACGCCAATGCTGTAAGGGTTAACGTAAATTATTGTTTTGTGTATGTATTGCTTTTGTTTGTAATTTAGGAAGTAACTGTGCAATGTGAATTACAATGCCAAAATTGTTTAAAACTTGAAAATAAGAAACGTTACAGGAACTTATGACTTGGGGCAAAGCATAAGCTTCAGTGTAGCAGAACTTATGCAAGCAGTTCTAATATGGTTATGCTTTCAGTAGGTAAGTGTTTTTTAAGAAGATGGGCCTGTTAATTTTATTTCATATATGATTGTAGGTCAAGAGAAGATTTGCCAACGTAATAGGATCAGCCATGTTTAATAACCTCAATTTCTACAATACTACCAAGTAAGCTTGCTTGCACCACTGGAAAATTATTGAAGTTAATAACTAAGAAATATGGACTTAATCAACCTTGTGTAGCTGCGCATTACTGAAGTAACTTATTTCATAGATGAGTATGACAACAACAGCAGCAATGAAGAATCGTAAACTAGTAGCAAAGTGGTTGATCTTGATAGTTGTCCTGCTGAGGAGGTTTTGGACCCAAATGATCTTATTGGTGACTCAGACTCAGAGAGTGATCTTGGCGCTAACAAAGTTATGAGACTGAGACAGAAGAGATAATCATATCTAGTGACATGGATGTTGACTCTGAATCAAAGCAGCCAAGAGCATTTAAAAGGTAACAATTTTTGGATGAGAACTGTAATTTATCAATCACCATGGCAATGTTAAAATAGTGGTGATTGTTAAATAAATCAAAGTTAAACAGCTTATTTAATCAGTCACTACCTTGATGACACAAATGTGTGCCAGTATGTAATTGTATTTATTGATAGCTACTATTGCATTTCATAAATTGTGTTTTTTTCTTTTGTAGAGTGCTCAACAAAGACATCAACCTAAGAACAGAAAAAAAATTCATTGTGTTCTTCACTCAACTGTTTGCATTTTTTGAATTCTGCCCAATTTGCAAATCAGATGTTCTTGTTGAGATATTGCAAAATGGTTCAATGGCAAAAGTGAAAGTTAGTTGTTCCAAATTCCAATCAAAAATGTGTAGCAGACACAACATGGAATAGTCAACCAACCATGACTGGGACTTCCATTCCTGCTGGAAATTTGCTATTGTCATTTGATATTTTGACTGCTGGAAACTCTGCCACAATCGTGATCAGAGTTCTACAGCACATGGGATTGGCATGCATTTCATTGAGTAAATACTTCTCTCACCAGTGTGTAAGTAAGACGTATCCAATGGTGTAAAAGAAAATTGTAAAGAAATTACTACAATCAAATGAAAAGCGTGAAAGTCTTTTTAAAATTTTGTGTAGGAAAAACTGTATCCTGCATTGGTGATCTTCTGAAAAAAATACCAAGACAGTTTGATAGAGAAAGTGATGGCATGTAAACAGCCTATTGCAATTGCTAGGGATGGAAGACATGATTCCATGAGACATTGTTCTAAATACTGTGCATATACAACATTCTTTTGCACAGTACCTCAAATCATTAGTTTTTCTCTTGTGCAGGTACAATTCTTTGAATTATGTGATTTTCTTCTTTAAAATTATTTTCTTATTTGCTAGTTTTTTGAGAAATTAAGTTTAAAATAGCACTGGTATGGAGTTTTAGAGATTTAAAAGATCAATGGATTTTCTTAAATCTTGCAATATTCCAATCTTCATGTTAATCACTGACAGGCACACACAAATTGCCAAACATATGTATGAGAGAGAATTGTCGAAGTATTACCAACTACTTTGACCTTTGGCATTTGATAAAAAGTAACGATTATTTTAGTTAATGAAGCAGTACTTTATGAAGCAAAAATTTAACATATAGCTAGTATACAATTTACTATCCATACTGGCATCAATAATTAAAGTTGTATCTAAAACATATTATATTTCATCTTAGAAGTGACCAAAGTCCTGACCAATCTTGCAAAATGTGCTGGATGTGAGTCTTTATCAAGCTAGATAAGACCTTGTTCCAACCACTAGTACTGGAGTGCTTCATCAACACCCTCTGGTAACGGGAATGTAATTGTTACTAAGTTAAAACTTTCCTTGGTCATGTCAAAAACAAACACAGTGGATTTTCAGACCCGTTATTTGACAAATGTGCTCATGATTCCGACATAAAACCATGCAAATGGATAAATGAAGGTAAAAAATCTAAAACAGTTCTTGTTGCTATTAAAAAGAAATATTCTGTGTGTAATAATCTCTTATTCATTGCCTTCTCTTTAGATTCTATATCATACAATAAGATGTATGCAGCTTTAACTAAACCAAGGTTGATTGCTGGAATCATGAAAGCTTCTCCAATCTCTCAAACAAGTGCATTGAAGGGATTTCACTCAGTTTTTCACCAGTTTGCACCCAAAATGATCAGCTACTTTTTTCTTGGAATGTTCAGCAGGTATTCTATGAAACATGTGTGATGAAACACGTCGGGGACCAACGTTGAGTGAACGTTTTTTTGTGAACTCTTTGGAACGTGGTGGCGACGTTAGGATGAACGTTGGCATGTAACGTATTTTCATTTAACATACAATTAATGATGCATTATTTGTGAAATCATAAAACAGCCTTTCCAATGATACCAACTAAAGTTTAATTTCCATATAATCAACGTTTAATTCATCTATTTTGCTGTGCGTGTTTTAATACACATATTTACAGAAATGCTAATTAAGCCGATTCCAATAAGTTGCCTTTTCGGACCTGCAAGAAAATAACATATATGATTATTAAAAAATGGTAGTCTATATATCATTTTTATATGTCTTACCACCTACAACAACATTGACACATTTGTCTGTAAGAGATGCCAATTAAATGGAAAACTAAATCGTCTGCTGTATGTATATCTTCTTAATTTAATTTATATAAACATATGGATCAAAGTATTTTTAAGTTTTATTCACTTAAAAGCAATCAAATAAATCCACTTATATGAACGCCACTACGTACGTACGTCGGATATAAGAAATTATCTCGCGCTACAAAGTCATCTCATACGCACGAGAAACAAAACAAGTGAACAAAACTTTAATCGTTACGGCACCTTTTTCACATTTAACCAACACTTGCTCTTTTATATAAATAACAAAACAATTATTGAATTGGGTTTTCCCGTAATATAAAGAATTATCAAGGCATCAATGTGTTCTATCTGCCTCAACGTTGGTAGATTGAACAAACCTTGGCCTTCATAAGTCTTAATTCATATACTATTTCATTCAATAATTGTTCAATGTCACGCTAAGGAAATTGTATACAATAAATCTAATCATGCAGTTTGAGTTATCAAAATTTAAAACTTGCACAAATCTAATGCCTGCACTAAAATGAACGTTTTCAAAGGTACGCATTATGTATATGTGTCCATTCCATTTTGCTTTACTTATAAATGAAGGACAATGAAAGACACATGCTCACTTTCTTTAAGTGCACATGCCAATAATGTTATTGTGCATTTTTCTCAACTTACACAGACAAGAAAATACAAATATGTTAACTATGAGATTACGGAGTAAAATAAGTTGAGTTCTCCCTGTCTAAGTTGAGAAAATCGAACAAAGAAAAAATGGCATCTATATACTTTACCCAGCAATCTATGATGATAATGACATGTTACCTTAAATCTGGAACCACCTTGCTTGCCTGGAACATATTTTAAAAATTCGGCTATTTGCTCTTCAACGTTGGTCTCGCTGCATCCTTTATGAGCTCTGAGGCAGGCTTCTAACAAGTGAAACAAAACAGAAAAGACATACTTTAAATAAATTGCATTGATAAAACACTAAATCATCTTCGTAAGATGAATGATAAACAACAATTCATTATAGTGACATTTGCAAAACAGTTTAATGTATTAGCTTTTAAAACTTGCAACAATATTCCTTATAAAGTAAATGGTTTGAACCCGGGAGTATCGTTACATGTTTGTAAATGTAGATCGTCCAGGTTGGTATAGTCCTGAGAAGGACTGTTTTTGTTGTTGTTTTTGTTGTTGTTGACTGACGTTTCGACAGCTTTAGCGGTAGTCATCTGACTTTGAAGATGACTCCGCTAAGGTTGTCGAAACGTCAGTCAACAACAACAAAAACAGTCCTTCTCAAGACTATACCAACCTGGACGATCTACATTTACAAACATTCCTTATGACAAGGAGCAACATAAATGGCTGTATTTCCTATTCATGAACGAGAAAAAAGAGACAAAACATGGTGCTGCTGCAGCTATCATTATCGTCTAATTGTGCTTACTTGTTATAACTTTGCAGAGGGCAAGGTGCTGAAATGGTCGCTTTGCCTTTCTGCCTTTTAAACTATATTGGGACCATAGAATATTTGTTCCCAGCTTTGTCATAATTCTTCTAACACTGTTTGCACAGGTGTTTGCGCACAGCGCTACCAAAAAAGCAAAAAGAGTAAAAGATAAATTATTTGGAAAAGTTGAATTTAGACATATATATAATCATTTTGATCTCGAATTGCAAAACAAAACCATCCAAAGTGAATGGTGAGAACTTTTAGAAAGACCTGTTTCTTCGTTAAAATTTTTCAGCACAAATAAAACGACATACTCCTAAGAGCCGTTTGAAGTAACGTAACGTATTTCAATCAATCAGAACACAACAATGCTCTCACGAAAAACACGATGCTAGATTCATATAGTTTAATCAGATAATCTGACTCCTTAACGTCAAGAAATTCGTCATTAAAATTACGTTTTAGACATTGACAAACGTGCATGTTTTCAAGCTTCAAACACAAATGGTAGAAGAAAAGTCAATATTATGTTACGTAATTGCAAATGAAACTATCGTTTTCACGTTTCCAAACCGATAAAGGGGAAGGGCTATGCCTTCCTTTTTCACATATTTTTACGTAACACTTGAAAGAGTCATGCATAAAAAATAAGCGGTGCCAATAAATATTACTAAATACGTATGGGTGGTTAACTTTCCAAAACTTACCAACTTTCTTCTGAACTTTTCTTCATCAAGACTAGAGGATAGGTCCTCAAGTTCTTCAACCGAATCTAAGGGATTAGTTATAACATCTTTCAAAATTTTGTGCTCCTCTACACCTTTCGTAGCGCTTAACAGAGCACGCAATATTGACAACGCTTCTTCTTGCTTATCAATTAATGTTTCCAGTTTGGTGAGAACTGATCTTTGGAAGCCTACAAGATAGATAAGAAAATAATAGAATAACTTATGTATAACCTACGTAATATCTTAAAAATATAAAGCCTTACAACATGCTAACAAGAAAATTCAAATAAAAACTCGCATCAAATTGCTAATTGAATACGCATACATAATAACAACGCTATTCAAAAACTATATACTGTAGAAAATGTACCATTAATGTTTGGTTAAGAACGTCTTCCTGCAGGTGTTATGTTCATAAAACTTGTCGAAAGCGTTTCGTGCGATGAAAGGTCATGCGCATCTGCAAAGCAATCACGTGTTGCAGTTAGTTGTGAAGAAAATAAAAACATTTCAAACGACACGAAATGAACGTAAATGAAAACGTAACAACAAGACATGCAATGATGAATTGTAAGAAAAGCTTGCCTAAGAGATCACTGTTTCGTTGAGAATGTCTTTCACTTCTTGTGCCAGTTGTAGGAATTCCTTGTGAAGAGACGTTGCTTGTATCTACAGAGAAGACATGTACTGGGTTTAACATATATCTTTATTGCACGCACGAACGTCATTTAAATTAAGGCACTACAAGTTTCAAAAGTCAGAAACATAAAGGTGACTAAAATAAAAAACCTCGAGAAAGTTTCATTAAGTAGTTTGATAGCAAACGCTGAGAATTAGATTTGAAAGAATGTATTTTGATTAAATCGTGGTGAACACAACTGCAATTTTAACTATAACTAACATTTTTTCAAATAATTACAACAACATTTTAAAGGACCAATGCCAACAACACCTGTAGAACATACATAAGCCCTATAATGCAACCATGGACGTAGAAAAACAGTAAATGTACAATACGAATGTAAAAGTTAGTTAAAAAGAATCAACCAAAATTATTTCAACATTTAAGTCGACATATTATATGAAAGAATGTTTTATGCAGTGCGGTGTTTGAAATTAGTGCGAAGATCATATCTTCATTTAATATTATATGAAAGATGCTCAATAGTCAGTTCTGATGACAGAAAACTTACCACTACGCTGAGATGAAGTCCTACTAGTAGATGTGGAAGTTATTGCATGATCCTTTGTGTTTAGGATTTCTGGTGCTAGTTCACCGTCATATAAAACTAGATCAACATTATACTAGGTTGAAAAGAGAAATTTTATGCATGCATGTTTCTGTCAAAAAATTGTCCACTTGTACAAGGATTATAATTGCGGATATACCTTTTTCTGCAAAGGAGATCAGCTCGCTGTACACCGGCAAATCTAAAAAGCAAAATCACTCATTAGATTTAAATGCAACATAGCAATATGTGAAATACTGCACTCCTTTGAATAAAGCAATGCCTATTTCATTGCAACTACAGTACTTACTTCTAGAATTTGTTGATAAGATTTCATTGACGGCTTTTATCATATTACTTTCAGAAGATTCCAATAAATGCTTATTGTTCATACTAAAAGATGCGTAACGTGGAGCAGGAGGTAACTGAGGGGCTCTGTGTTGAATTACGGGTTCATCACTATCATCATCGTCTGATGAGAAAAAATACCCGATCATCGCATAACAATGTTTATTGAGTACTCAAGCTATACTAAAAATACTAAAATATGGTTAATTTAATGCTTGCCAAAGATGTAATATTTAAGTAGCTACGGCAATACATTCAGTCTTAATCTTATCTTTTCCCATCTTAAGAAAGAAGACATAGCCAAATTCAAGGAACTTATTGTGTTTCGCGCACAAGACCCTTCATTGACTACAGCCATATACGCACATAGGTAGTTATAACAGTAGAAATAAAACACTTTTCTGTGTTACTGTGTACGTAAGTTGTTGTGATGGGAGAGAAATATCTAGAATACTATATAACTTACTTTCTATGTCACTGTAATATGGAAATTCGTCCATACTCCTTTTGAGACGAGGACGTTTTCGTGGCTTGTCGTTGATTGACTAATCATCTGATTCAATGTTTGAAGTGGCAATGGCTCTTCTAGCAAAGTTTTGGGCACTTTTAAAGTTGTCTAAGTAAAAGAAAGGTTTAAATCTAGAAAACAGAGCATTAAACCGTTTAAAGTACTTTAGAGGCTTCAGTGGAGAAAATGTGAAACAGCTGGCAGCAAGTTTAAAAAAAATTCTAAAAAATAAAAAATTCCTACACTATTAGGACATAGCAATGATTATTTACAATCAAAATGGAAATAACAGGAAATCCAAAACAAATGTAACCTAAATGAAAAATTCATACTATAATCACAAGACGTCATATTAACCTGCAAATGTGAATATTCTGACTTTATGTTTTTTCCAACCATTTTTGTCCGGCAATTCCAGCTTCTTTACCCTAGCTGAGACGTTTGTCCTCGGCTAATAGCAACACAAAACCTAAAGTGTAATTAAATGAAGTTAGTTGCATTGACCTGTACGTATAAACTCAGGAAGATCTTTATGATATGCCATTTTACATTCTAGGGGAATCCATTGTCCTTTACAGATGTCATGTGTACAGGTCAAGGCGAAATAGTTTTCATCTTTACGACAGAACATTGTCAGCTCACAGCTACAACAAATGTTACCACTAATATCTTGAGACGTATTTGATAAACGAAGATGACCATAATATTTTAACTTTAATGGTTTCGATGCTGAACTCCGTAATTCGATGAATCTTGAAGCTTCCCATCCAAACTCATTGTCGATTTCTTCCTTTATTTGTTCTTCCGACATTTTTTCCCGTTTATCAACTGTGATAAATAAATGTTCATAAGGTATCTTTTGGTTTGAAACAGCTGTTCCAACAGGTCCGTTTATCCACACGAAACTAAATAGGGCAAGAGAATTAAATATAAGAAAGTGAAGCTGATTATTTGTCCGTGATACAAAAATTTCTTCCTTAAAATTTGGAAGTGAAAGAAGATATTTGGTGTCCTAACATGATTTGTCGTTGCTGCTCTTGTATTGACGTAAATGTGTGAGGTTTTTTAAATGTTTTTTTCAAGAAATGGCAAGTGCTTTTGCCAACATAACGGTAGTTAACACCAGCACGGAGAGGATACTTAAAAACACTCATGACTTACAATGAAGAGTGTGATCTGTATTCTTTATTGACAAATCTAAATTTAACATAGACCTTTCAAAAGGGTAAAAAACTCTTTATAGAAACTAACGATAAACATTAACTAGCCTAATAATTCTTCATCTTTCAAAAACAATTCTTAAACACGGTTGTATTGGTGCTGTGTATGTTAAATGTGATTGAATAATTTTTAGACGCATGACTTAAAACAAATGCAATGTCCCCCTCCCCACAGAGACAAGGGAAAATTTTTTATCTCGCTCAATTTAATATCATAACAAATAAAACAGCTATGGAGCTGAAAACTAAAAAAAATTCTTAAGCTATTAAACGACAAAACTCGACTATTAATAGAAAGAAAGGATTTAGAAAACACTCGAAGAAAAACGCTTTTTGTCACCTTAACAGCATTTTGCAATTGTTGCCAGCTCATTTTGATCTCCTCCGAAAGACGTTGATTATACTGAAAAGCTGTCGAAAATTTGAAATTTATTATCTTTGTTCCTATGTAACCAAAAACTTAATAAGTTTTGTTTTTTGATTTACACATCAATTAAATACTGACCGCGCAATCTTAATTGTGATTGGATAAAAGGCAACAGAAAATTCTCGATGTTTTGTCACGTGAAAAATATTGAATACTATCTGTAGATGACGTAATGGTTCATGAGAAAATTGTAAACAAATATGGCAGAATCTCGCTTAAGCTTTGCAGGAGTTTACAAACTGTTTTCGCTTGGACTATTGAAAATAAATACGTAAAAATACACGGGGAGTGTTACACTGTCAGTCAGGAAAGTTGTCATCGAGTGCTTAAGAGAAAAAGAGGAAATTCAACCGAAAAAATTATTGTCAAAGCACGGAAAACTTTATGAAAGCCTCTGTATTCATTATTGAGACCTTGGTCAATGTTATCCGCCCGAGCTTTGCTTCGGTAGGCAATATTGACCTCTGTTTGAATGATTCTTGTTATCGAGCTCAACCTCATCCAATAATTGTGAGCTAATTGTTTGTTAAGATCAAATGCCTAAACAATATCATGAACTAAATCTCCACCTCGCAAAAAGTTGCTATGAATGAAACTGCATCATTTTTTTTTAGTTATGAAAGATAACGAAATATAAAAACCTTACCGTTGGAGGGTATTGACAATTTCATCTCGAATATTGTAATCGTCGTTAAGGAACTTTTCTTTAAAAACTTTATCATCGTTCGTCACGTTTTCAGGTTCTAGAAGAATATGGAATATTGTCTAAAACGGTCTTAAGGTAGAAAATGTTTCGGAAGCAATATGTTGAGTAAGTTGCAAACCAAAAAACACATTAACTTTAACTGAAAGAAAATGTTATAGAAAAAGGTTTCATGATTGGTGAAACTCACTGCAAGCGAGGAAATTTGACAGCTTTTCCTAGTTCACCGTTCAAAAATTGATTATACCTACTTCAAAATGCTAATGTTGGTGTTGAGCAGAACATGTTTAAGTCATTAAAACATTCTCCAAATTTCTTTACGTATATACAATTAGACAACAACAGCAATGCTACCTTGTCGACGGCCAAAGGCATTTAAATCTTCAACTAAAATATTCGCGGTGGCATTTTCTCCTTCTGTTTTCTTGCACTTCAAAAGCCTTTCCATTGGCAATTTATGAATTACAGAGCATATCTTGTGAATATTTTCTTCAGGTATGCTCATCTTTCTAGCAAGCTCCAGCCATATAGGATATATTATTTCAGCTATTTCCCAGAGATCAATATCTTTGGGAACATCACTCACTACTGTAGCATCGTGACTTCCTAGATGTACAACAAGGTAATAATTAACCATTTATAATGCTACTGTTATATGTGATTACTTTCAATGTCGCTGATATCCCTTTCATTGTAAATATACATTTCGACAAATAACATTTCGACATGCTTCACGATTTAAAAATTCACTAAATATAGTGAATTAAACACAAAGAAATAGAGTAGAAACACATTCATTTAAGTAAAGCATAACCGTCCAGTAACATCAGTTTTACTTCATGTCTATAAACTAGGGGGACATAATCCCAAAAGGAAATGATATAAAAATGTCATGTAGACAAATACAATAATATTTGAGATAGTAGCGGATCCAGACTTAGGCAAAATTATTCATAACCACTAATTTTAAATTTAAAATACCTTTATATAAAAGTAATTGCTTATGAATTTCTAAAGAATAAATATTACCCAATCAATAAGTTGAAGTAATTTATTTTGCCTATAGCTGAATCCGCCCCATGTTTGACCTGAAATTTGGATTTGCTAAAGGTGAATATCTGTTCAAAATTCATGAGTCGTAGGCAGTTGTATAGCAGTCAGTTATTTCAAATGAGTGATCTTTTGGAGATAACAAAAATGTTTTGGTTTCTTCCCTTAAATATCCATCACTCAACCTTTCTTCAAGCTTGAGACTAAATCTGTCTTTAATTTATAAATACCTTTCCATTCCCAGTTCACTTCCATGGCATCATGCTTACTGCTTCCTTTGATGATGTAAATTATACTTTCACTTGAAAGGAAAGCCACCTTTCCATTTGCATGATGAACAAGACGAAACAAACCATCAAATAATTCTGAACAATATCCTGTATTCATCAGCATTACAGACCATTTTATTTTAATTTTTTTGGTTTCAATGGAAAAAGTTTCAATAATAGTCCGGAGTATAAGACCTAGCATTGTTCAAATTCATGAAGAAAGTCTCAATTTCACTATTTTGCATTGGTTTATCAATGAAATTAAAATAGAGGTGAGACCCCAGCAAAATACCTTTTTGTTTCCGAGAAAATTATCAATAAATTTTGCCATATATTTTAATAGTAAAGGCACAGGGATCCCATTTCAAATAAAAGAAAATCGACAAAACAATTTAGTTCTCATCGCATTTATATCCTCTTGGAAGTAAGTATTATTAAGCGATATATAATTCGTATAAATTGTCATTTATACCAGTAAATTTCACATACTTTCAATAAAAAAATGAGAAGAATATTTGGGATTTCTTGATTTATTGGTGTTATTAAATTTTACAAGAGCATGAAAATGTTTAATAATGATATTGTATCACCTGTCGTCTTCACTGCAGTGTATTCTTTTGATTCATTTTCGGGATTATTTAGGGAATATTACTTACTTATTAATCTTGGTAACAGCTACCACCACATTTGCACAATGCTGTGCATGGAAGATTGGACTTGGTACATTTGCACAAGCCCCTACATGCTTTCTTGCAACCACAGTGCACCAGTTCGTTGCACGCTTTGGAAGCCTCTGGAAGAGTGCTCCATGTAGGAATCCATCTGCCATTATTTTGCCATCCCCACTGCGAAGGAAGCGGTAACTGTTGAACTGAAACTAACGACTGACCCCAAACATGACCAGCCTGATATGTTGCCCTCCGAATGTGCTGTACCAAGGAGGCTTGGGTTGGTGGAATGTGGTCGATTGTCTTAGTACCTTGTGCAAATATAGCTTGTCTAGCATCATTGATGTTGGAGAGCGGGCATGTGCGGGAATACATAATAATGATAAATCTTTCAATTTTTCCATTTCTTCTTCTGAGATGGATTCTTTTGGAGATGAAAGAAGCTGAAACACACTGGTAACATCAGGAAAAGACTTCCAGGCTTGAAATGCAGTCTTTTTACCTTTTCCAGCAAAGAACGACACAGTATCACAACCAGTGACAGCATGAAAGAAGGGTAGGGCTTCACATTGCTCCCTACTCAACGAGCTTTGTGTAATGTTATGAATTGGTAAGTACCTCATGTGTTTACCAACACCAAAAGCAATCCAAAGTTCATCTACATCTAACTTGTGCACGTTTGCTATTGCTAACACAACAACATCTGTGTCTACAGTTCTTATGACAATTTTCCTCATTCCACCTTTCGCTGCATGGTTTGCATGAATGAAAATGCGCGTATCGGCCTCCTCGTGATTGCAGGGAGCTAACTCATCTTTTCGATTGGCTTCGAACTTATTATGTCTTCCTCAAAAGTGCTTACAATTGTAACATTTGGCAGTTGAATCGATGTTGCTGCCTGACTGAGGTACTTGAAAAGTTCTTGTTTGTTGTCATCTGATCTTAAAATGATTTCCAGTTTGCAGGGATCACAGCCATGTCACATACTCTTCTTCTTGCCCCTACAGCGCCTCGCGATGAACGAGTACCCTGCTTAAGGCTGTCGGGTATATAACGGTCCCAAACAAGATCTATTCTTCTAATACCATTTGCTTGTTGAACAATATAAGGAACAAACACTGATTTGGAGTATTCTTGAAAGGTCTTACACTTCCCTGGGCTAAGCATGTTTACAATAGCTGCGGCATCCAAGATTTTGACATCAACATTTGGACAGGTGGTCTGCACATCAGCTTCGAGACAATCAATCAATTCTGATTTCTGGCCACTTCGCATCTTGTCCCCTGATGATAATGAAGGAGGAGTACTCTGGTTTTCATGCTTAAAAAATTCTTGGAGATTCCCTTCTCTTGACTGACAAGCAATGTACAACCTTGCAAAAAGATTGCAGTCATTCTTTAATGTTGTGACTTGAAGTTTCGTCTTGTTGGTTGTCGTTGGTACTGATGTTCCAAAAAGTGGAAGCTTATTGCGTTCAATTGTGTCAGTTATTGGTGTGTTACACTTTTCAAGTCTCTCTTCGACGTACTTAGTGTATTGTGCTTCTCCGATCTTTCGAGCTGTATAAATCGACTCTATAACACACTCAGGCTCTATTTCTTTCGTATCTACGACAATCAGATCCTTGCTATTTTCCATAAAGGGTTTCCAAACTCCTTTAATGCAGCAGACATTGATTTTACATCTTTTGCAAAGTTCTTTTGGACAGATGGTGTCTGTTCGTGGTGAGTAATGTTCTTTGTAGAACACTGAACGCCAAAGGAACACTCAAACTCTCTTACCAGTCTTGCAATTTCAGGTCCTGCGATCATCCAACGTCTTAGGGCCGTTGGGCACTCAGTGAGGCCCACTGCTCCACCATCACCTTTTATCATTTCGTTCTCTTGCTCGTGGTTTTGGTCAAGGGACATCATAGAAAAACGATGTTGGGACTTCTGAACCACAAATTTTCCATGTGCACTAAACTCTGTAAAAAGAGTAGGATGCGTTTTCTCTAATCGTAAGAGATCTCTCACATGTACTGGCAACCATCTAGAGTAGTTAGACAAGTTCATCGCAAAAAACCAAGGAAGTACCTTTCCAAGCACTTGTAAGTAGACTTGGAAGTTACCCTCTCTGGTAGCCTTAACAAACTGCAGTAGAAGAATTTCGAGGTCTAATACTGTCGCCCAGTATTTGAATTGCGGGCAAAGCTCACTTTGTTCTTTTATCCAAGCTTCATAACTTTTGGGGCTTGTCTTCACAACTTTCGATGTACTCCTGGTAAGCAATTTTCTGCATAAGGTAAATTGCACAGGCACTTACTTGGTGGACATAGCGAGATCTCGTCACGTGCGATCCTTTCAAAACAGAATCCGCTCTTCCACTTGTCATAACCTCAGCATGAATTAGAGCACTTCAAAGTAAAATATATATGTTAGTTATTAGATTGAGATTATAAAACAACAAATCTACACCATACCTTGCCCACCCACTGTTAGTTAACCAATGTCCAATCATCTTTAATATTGCCATCTCAATATGCAGGCCACCCATCATTACCATGTACTTATCTTCACCGAATTCATTTTGTTGTTCCACTGTATTTGCTTAGCGAGTGCATAGAGTGGTTGGTCCATCGCTATAACAGGAGTTTGATTAGGGTTTAAGAACTTAGTAGATTCTTTGACGGTTTTCATTGCATGCTTTATCATAGCCATAGTATGAGCATTGTCTTCAAAAGTGGCAATAAAGAGGTGATTGCATTGGGCCTCAAAACTACGTTTTGCTCAGATGCAAAGTAAGCTGACCATGATAAGTAATCCTTTTCTTCAAGCTTTTCTTTGAGTAAAAGTTCGTCGACCCTTTTTAGCCATTTCTCCTCTTCCTTGATGCTTTTATTTATCAGGTCTTGTTTAGGTTTAAAAGAGCCAGTGACTTTGGGACAAAGAGATCCTTTTACCTTCATCTGTGACAGGAGTTACAGTTGTATAGAATTCAGGTAAACTGTTGACGACCTTTGACTTTGTGGGAGTGTTATCCTGTGGCACTTGTTCTCGTTCTTCTCCTTGTGAGTCAAGAGAAGGATGTTGTGTAAGGGAAATTGCTGTTCCATGAAATGAATTTTTAGCGGTTCTTGAGGACGGATTGTGATCGATATTGTCAACTTGGCCTGTAGTAAAGATATTCTTTCTTAATTTTGGAGGACATACAACACCCTCCTTCTCATACAGTTTGCAACACTTGTTTCCCAGATCTGCAGATATCTGCATTAGTCTGTCATAAGAAATGCAAAGACCTAGCTTATAAAACTTGTCGACCAATGTTTTTTTTCTTGTTTCTGCATGGACAACGAGCGCCGTGGAAGTGGTTAATGGTGTCTCTCTTGACTTGTCATGTCGAATGGCATTGCTAGCACCTGATCGTACATGCTTTACTGAATTAAATATTAGCAGTTGGGAAATCGTTAAAGCGGCACTGGCTCCTGACACCTCTTGTTTCTTTTGATTATTTATATTTGGACCCTCTAAAATCATATTTATCAGGGCAAGTAAACTATCGGGGACTGCTTGTTGTTGGCATTCTGGTGTAAACGTGCCTTCAAAGGGTTCCCTTTTCAAGAACATTTTTTTTCGTACTATACTAGCAGCTTTTGCAAGGTACAATGCAGCGGTGTCTAGGTTCCTATTGTGTACAAAAGCCATAGCTGTTCCAATATCATTTGGCATTGCCAGCTTCACATCTTTACCATCTTTAAATGCATGCAGCTCTGGTATTTGAGTGAGAAGTCGTTCTTTCAGTCTTGTGGAGTTGATACGTCCTTTCACTTCTACTCCTAATTGTTCAAGTCTTGAACAATAGAGCTCTGACAATTGAGACATCTTGAAAACTGCTTCACCAGCTGCCAGGCTTTCACTAATATATAGGCTTAATTCTGCAAGGGCTATTGCCTCAGGTGTTATTTCATTTTTATCATCAACAGCACTATCTTGTGGTTGGTTTAATTTGCTTCTCTGACGGTTATAGAGAGATGTCAAGCATGATTTATGGTAATATGCATCTCTTGCATGCATATCACCTTGTGCTAATTTTGCTAACAGTTTGTAATCTTGAAGCGTCTCGGCCGCTGATTGAACATTATTGGTAATTGACATGGTTTCTGCTTTATGCAAATCACCCTCTGTGCAATCACAGAAAAACATGATAAAGCATTGCTACTCTTACTTGACAATTCAAATGTCTTTCTTCTTGTTTTAGCTGGACTAGTAGCTCCTAATATTGCTGGATCCTCAGTTGAAAATTCCTCTTCACTTTTGCGCTTTTGTGCCCGCTGAAGCTTTAGCGTATTGCATTTATTATAGCACGATTTGTGCCATGATGCTCTGTGATTTCTTAAAGTATTTTCAATGCCTGTTAAAGTATTATTATAAGGCTAAATAAGTACAATTTATGGCTCATAGTTGATCTGTGAGTTTATTTCACTTTTAATTGATTAGGAATTCCTTACCTCTGCCATCATCAAGAGAAGAAAGTGGAATGTTAATAGGTAGCGAATCAAGTTTCTCGAATTCTTTCAAGTTTTCTGCAATTGTCTTGTAACTTGAGCCAGCAAGTAAAGTATTTGAAGCTTTTTCCGGACATAAAATCTTTTCTTTTGTGTCTTTTTGACATAAGGCACAAAGGTTCCAGTTTAAAGACATTTTAAAAGCGAAAAATAATCAAAAAAATTATCGAGAAATAGCCTATATCGTCTGGAAATGCCAAATTAACTAGGCGACCAGGCTTTTGCCACAGGGAGCACAAAATTTATGCAGTTTTCGAAATAACCTTTAAAAAGGGTAACTTTCGACAATTAATTAATTTTTACCGGAATTTTCATGGTGTTTTGTTGTTTTTATATAAAATACAACATTTTTATTTAACATTTTTATATTTAAAACGGTTTTATAAAAGCCTCATTAAGCCCGCGATTTAAGCCGCTGACCAAACTTTTAATCGGCTCAAAAGTACCCTAAACAAGCTGATCCTGCTGGGGTCTCACTTTTATTTTGATCTATAAATCAAATTAGCAATTTGTGGCAAGTTTCATGCTTTCTTCACATGTTTGAACAATCTGACCAATTTTCGGAGCTTATCCTCCGGACTATAACAAGCTGTGATTTGTCCTCTTTAAAATAAAATCTTTGATAGTGTTGTCAAAGGGAGTGTAAATGACTCGAGTGTTTGCGTTGATTCCTTTAACCTGTGGATGAAATTTCATCTTTTTAACAAAAGTTTTATCTAACTTAAAAATAATTAATTTGTAAAATCGGCCAGATGCATTTGTCAAAATTGCCATATTTTCACAGGACGAAACTTCACTTCATTATCAACTGGTTTACCTTTAACCTTTGGTAAAAAAGACTTGATAAGTTTATCTTTACTGTCACACACATATATATTGATTTCACTTGTATTGAAATCATTTGTGAACGTTGTGTGGAGATAACAAAAACATGGCAGCCATATTGGTTGTGGAGGTGCAAAGCCATAGGGATTTATGTACGAAGATACTCAAACCTGAGCTACTCAGACCGTGACAAGGGGACTTGGCCCAATTAGCTAAAAGACTTCCCTCTCAAAAAGATGAAGTAGAAATTACAAGGAATGACTTGTTTAATTAGTAAAATATTTAAAGTCTTCCTAATTTTTTCATCGAGAGTTTAAACTTCCTTTTTTATAAGAAATATACCCTGCGTATGTTTTTCTTCAACATTTGTAGACAGTCTCCCTCAAAGGACATGGGATCCCAACCAGTTCCAGCCCTTAAGTCCTGTTCACATGTTCAAATTTGTCGGATCCGTCTTTTGATTGTTTGTTCAGATATTTATATTCGTTTAGATATTTAAAGTCGTGTGAGCAGCCATTTGTGCTATCCAGTACATTTATCAATATATTTTTCGTATTTTTGTTCTTCTTTCCAAGTCTTTTTCAAATCAATGTAATTTCACTTGTCGGCTTCCTTTGATCTTGTCGGATGAAAATAGAGCTAGTTCTATTTCCATCGATTTTTTAGATAGATGGACCCGACTATCAGAAGCTCACTATTTATATATGTTAAGACAATCCGTTTTTTAGGATCCGAAAAAGTCAGATCCGACAAATCAGATGATGTGAACGGACCTTCAGTAGTTAGTTGCCCTGTCATTGACGTATTAAATATTCATTGTTAAAAATGCAGCATAAATCTTTTCATCATACATTTAACTAAGTGCGTACAGCATTTTGTAAATTACAATGTATAATTCAATTAAACATAAAAATTATTGCTTAACTTAGCGATACCTTAATTTTCCACGATGTAGTCTATAATCGCTCATCTTTTATTGTAGCTACTTTTTGGAGTTCTTTCTTTTTTACATAAGGATATTGAGGATTTATTAGCAAATATTACCAGAAATTAACATTTCAATATGAAATCTTATATAAAGTACGACAATTGTTATAAAATAAAAAATGTAATATAAATAGAGTGTTTTTACAAGCACTGCTCTAAAAAACGGGAGGAGGGAGATCACACTAAAAGACGATTGATTACAAACATGAAAAATAGTTTAGTAGTTTCAAGTTGTTTTAACACCACATAAGGTAACGTGAGGACGTACGAGTTGATTCACAAACGATAGCAGGAACTGAACTTGAGGATAAGAACTCATAAATATGAATGTCTTTAAGATCAGTCAATGTTTCAAGTTTTCCTGAATGATCACAACTGTAAAAATGGTAATGAAAAGGACCACAATATTCAATTATGAGAAATTTCTTCAGACCAAAGTGATAGAAAAAATCTTTCACCTGTAAATTAAAATTCACTTTCGACTTCAGACAACCCTCCATTGAATAAATGTACAAAGAAGCATGGTCACCTAAAATTATTTCGTTCTCATTGGTAACGACTATCCGTCGTATAGGATTTTCTATTTGCTCAACTATAAACTTCTTTATCAATTTTCCTTGCAAGTCACAAACAAACACAAAATTGTTGATTACATCAAAAACCACGATGTTTTCAGCTGACACGAATAAACGAAAGTTCTTATAGTCTTTGTAAGTAAGATCCAAGGATATTTCACTTTTAACAAGAAAATGAGGATCCAACATCACTAGATGAAAGTCAAAGGACGTTTTCCGTAGGACAATGATGTACATGTCATCCTTTTCATCAATAAAGCTGGCCTTTATGACGTCACCTTCAGGAAATTCATAGACGATTTCATCATCAGCACATTTTCTTATAATCTTGATCAAATTTCTCTCTGGATCACAATAAATTAAGTCATTGCTACTGTTGCAATGAATATGTTGTGGATCTACTTGGCTTTCCAATTCCAATTGATTTGGACCTTGGACCTCACTGTCCCAAGAATTTCTCTCCGAGATTTCACGCCAATTCCATATTGGATTAAATTGTCTGTTTTTTAGTTGAATGGTCGGCCAAACTAAAGCCATATGATAGGTTTTCCCACACTTCATATTAAACTGAAACAATAAGCGGTTAATAAACATCACTGATCGTACATTTTCTACACGATCGTTTTTATTCAACAACGACTTCACTCCACCATTGATGTAAACATTAAATATCTCACGAATAGCAGGTAATGAGTGAAGTTTCTCCAAAAATGACAAACACAATGTAATGGCCGTTTTTGGACATTCCATGCATTGCAAAATGGTTGAAACTACTCGAATTTTCGATGCAAAGATTCTATCTTCAATTGACAAACTTTCGTTATTGAATGCACGAGTTGCTTCAATGTTAGCGTTTTCAAATTTCTTGACAGCAGTTTTCAATTGAAGAAGACTTTCAATACTTAATGTCTTAAAAGCTTCATCAAGTTTGTGTTCTTGATCAAAGTCTTTAGATCTTACACTGCTTTGGTTGCTTGAAATCAACGATGAATCAATTTGATTTCCTTCAGTTAAATTTCTCAATTTTTCCTTTTCTCCCTCTTTTAGTTGTGCAGATTTCTCGATACAATCAAGTAAAAAGCAAATTCCTTGGTCTAAGAAATCATAACTGCTGAGAAGATCTTTTCGTGACAATGCGTCGAGTTTAGTTTTTACATCATTCAATTCTCTCACAACAATTCCTCGAAGCTTCGCATCCGTAACATCACCTTCTTCAAGTTTTTCTGCTGTTATATCTCGGATTTTGTTACACAATACACCAACAGTTGAACTTAATATGTGGAGGATAAACGACGACATATTTAGACAAAGTAATTGAGATCTACAAAATCCTGTAGATAGGTTTGTCTTTATGTCAGAAGATTTTCTTACACGTCATATAATTTCGCAGTCGGTTGGTCTTATGTTATGTTATTCTTCACATGAACAATGTTCAAGTATGCAATACACGTGAACAGCATGTGAAACACAATTGACGCTAGACAGAAGTCGATATTCTTAGCCGAGAAGCTTTAAAAATGCTTGTCTAAAAAATCCATAGAATACATAATCATTGACATGCACGTGAAATTTAAAGAGATGGAGAAAATTTTCTTTTTTCGTTTTAATACTTACCCATTTATCTATATTGAAATAGATAACTACTTTTCCTAAATCGCCTATATTTTCTATTTTGCATTCAAATAACTAATAGAATACTAATGTAAAATTTTAATAATGTATTTAGGTATTTTTTCTCTGTTTGCAAAACACTGTTCTTAAAATTTAAGGAAATGTGCAATAAAATTTTAATTGATTAATTAACAAATGAGACAGTCCAAAAACTAGTAGAAACATGACGTGAAAATTATATTATAATTTCGTCAAGAATCGTTGTAAAAGTTGTTTCAAGTTGACTTAAATTTCAGATAATGCATTATATTTTTCCATTTGAATTGTTAAAGAGAAAACACTTGACAAAATAATGTACGCAGTGCAACTTAGGGATAAAGGTAAATTTTTTGTAAAAGCTTCATGATATTTTAAATTTATTAATGAAAAGTTCATACATTATCACAGGAATAACCACCCTAAAATAACTTACTTATAAAATGTAAACTGTTTCTCAAAGCTACATCATAATTTACATTTTAGTAAAAACTTCATTCATAAAGGCAACAGTAACCACAACAAAATAAATCCTTCATAAAATTTTGGTATAAAATCAAAACACAGAGGGCAAACGTGTACAAAGTTTAGATACTCACTAAATTTACAAATTTTGAGTTATTTTTGTAAAAGATCGAAATCAATGATTCTCAAGGCCGTCGCAAACAGGTGTTGTTAGGGGGGTGGGGTGGGTTTACCTCTTAAAAATTATGTTTTTCACAAAATGAAATTTTGTCGAAACGTCAGTTGTTGGTAGACGTTAGATCTAATTTCTGATTTACCAAATTTTACGAACATTGACAATAATACGTATTTAAAAAGTACCTCCTATTATTGATGTAAAGTCTAATATAAATGTAAAAAGTCTAGACTGGCAAATAAGTCAGAATGATTGCAGTCAAAAAGCAGTGTGCCGTATCACGAACGCTAATCGGGAGGGGGGGATTTTTATTAATATGTTTAATAATGTCCGACCGATTTCTTTCGAAAGCCAAGTCGGTCTTTAAGAGAGCCAGTCGAGCACAGCTGAATATAGGAATAAAAACCTCCCAGTTAATATTCTAGATACGGTCCTGACAAGAAATGTAAACCAAAATGTGTAAATCAGCTCAATTTTGTCATTTCTCCCGCACGCGTATTTTCCCGTAACAACTTTGTAATGCAAAACTGCAGGAGCTAGGGGGCAACTACCTCACCAAGATTTCTCATATTGAGATCTTTATATATGTAAGTGTTAATCATATCAAACAGCAGCCTCGTATCCATGCGCTTTGATGCTTTGAATTATTTGATGTTTTATAATAAATTGAATGTCACATGACGTGCGTGGGCGTCGCGCATTTGCGTGGCTAACAGTATTCAAACCATAAAAATATTAAGCTTAATGTAGAGATCGAAATGCTATTTCAGTAAAAATAGCAACGAAATTTCTAAAGGAGCATTCACCCGACAAAATTGCTCTAATTACAAAAATTCATTTAAAAAATCAAGCTTTGCTACCAATAACATTGAAAATAACAAATCAATAAAATGATTCTTTGGTTTTTCTGCATGTTTTTCTAATGGAGCATGTAATTATGTAATTCAACACCAAGTATATTCACATATGGGAAGCTTTTTGTGAAGTTGATGTTGACGTGTGAAAATGTTATTCAAAATCATCAATATTCACATGTGAATTGTCATTTTGTCATTTTTGCAACAAAGAATGAAATGCATTAAACGTGGGTGTTGAGTGTCGAACACCAAGAACTGTTATCTATACAATTTTTTCACGCAACCGCAATTTTTGTTCACTAAAATTCTCCATTCAACCATCAATATCCCAATGTGATAAATACTGTCGGTGTACTTTTATAATATTCATTCTAAACATGATTTGTTCAAGATGACAGTAACTTGTCATTCACATAAGCTCTGCATTTACCCAACAAGCTTTTTAAACAGAATTACAAAAATTTTATGAATTGAGCTTCACGATGAGCACAAACATATAGCTAGAAAGGCATTAAACAAAAAGCCAAAAGTAAAATTAGAATAATATCAATAGTAATCATGGAAAATCTGTATTAACAACAGTTAGAAAGCACTAAGATAACCGCAACAATTTTCTATGATAAAAATACGATGGACATATATTGCATGAGGTGCAAATTTTTAATCCCAACCAAAGGCTGAGACACACAAACTAATGAAACCGCTAGATACGCCACTAACAAGTTTTATTTCGGATTTAAGTATACGTGGTCCAGTTGAAGTATTTGTGGTCCAGTTGAACAAAATCATTATATTTTCGTTCACTCATATACATACGAATTGAAAATAACTTTCACATTATTTTGAAAAAATACTAAATTTTCTTGTTACCTTGACGTTTTAACGTTTTTCTTATGGTCAAATTAAACACTGGCGTTTAATCAACAACAAAGTTTTCGTTGTTGACTTATACATACGTAAGTGAAATTTAAACTTACTTGCTCATACCTTTTTATTTGCTGAAAAGAGCGTTTCTTTAAATCACAATCATTAAGCTCAATCGGATCGTTCCAACTTTTCACCAAAGTTGATGATGGCCAACATGATATGACGTTTGAAGTTTTGTACAGCGCTTTAAAGAAAATATACTTTATTTAAGTGCATATAATGACATTGTATCTTGGGGGGTTGGGCAGGTGTTAGGGGTAGTACCTCTGTACCCTGGGCAGCCGCATGCATTTGTGCATGGCTCAGAGCATTGGCCCTCACCACCTGCCTAGCTCACATATGGCTCCAAGTAGTTGCTTGTGCAGGGCAACGGCCATCCCCCGGTAACGTCCTCGGCTGGACGGCGAAACTATGTGAGCGAGCTGCACTCTGGATTCTCCAGGTGTAGGCGGGTGTCATCTCACCCAAGTGCATGAAGACCTTCCGGCAATGAAGGCTGACGACTCTCCCATGTTAGCGAGTACCACCTGTGTCATGGTCGAAAAGTCGGCGACTAATCTGACTCACCATTGCCTATGACGATGGAAGGGTGGTCAGACACCCTGACAATACAAAAACAACAACTGTCTAAAAAGCCACAGGCACTATGGAGTCTTGTGACCATCTGACACCTGCTTCCAGCAAACCCCCACTGCCTTGTGGGAAAGGTCTTTGCTAAGACTAAAGGCTAAAGGAAGGTGAACCTCAAACAACTCACTACGGAGATGGGACCCCGTAAAGGCAACCATGTTCAGTCAACGACAACTGGATTGGCAGTCCCTGCAGTGGAGTATTGTTGCCAGCACGTCCTGACTTGTTCTTGCCCGCTGGAGAACAGCAGTGCCCCACCGAGAGAGTGTCCTGGTGATGCAAAAGCCAGTGCCACTTAACATTTTGCATGCAGTTCTATGGAAATGAATAAGGAAGCTAGACATGATACCGGCTCGAACATCGCCCGGGTTACCAAGGTTCGCGCTGGTCCGCTCCCGCTCCGGCGACCAGTGAGAAGTAAGCTAGGACGCAAGGTGGACCGCAAGGAGGACATCAAGAAACATCTGAGACTCGCAGGATGGAACGTGAGGACGCTGCTTGATCGACCTGGATCTAAACGACCGGAAAGGCAAACAGCGCTAACAGCAAGGGAGTTGTCAAGGTACAGCATCGACGTGGCAGCACTGAGTGAAACCCGGCTGGCTCTAAGTGGCAGCTTGGTTGACCAAGGATACACCTTTTTCTGGAGTGGAAGAGAGGAGAGAAAAGAGAGGCTGGAGTTGGTTTTGCTATAAGAAACCAAATCGCCCAGAAGTTGGAACAAGAACCGGTAGCTGTAAGCGACAGAATAATCACTCTACGCCTTCCTCTGCAGGGGATGGTGTGGGCTACTATTGTTAGTGTCTACGCCCGGACCATGACTAACCCTGATGAGATAAAGGAAGATTTCTATCAGAAGTTGAGGGAAACTATCAGAGAAGTGCCCAGCACCGATAAGCTCATTATAGCCGGAGACTTAAATGCCAGAGTTGGAGATGAAGTGGAAAACTGGCCTGGAGTATTGGGACATTATGGCGTGGGCAAGTGCAACACCAATGGAGAACTCCTCCTAGCCTTGTGCTCTGAATATGGTCTAGTGATAACCAACACTGTTTTCAAGCATAAGCACACCCACAAGACGACATGGATGCACCCGAGGTCTAAGCACTGGCACCTCATCGACTACGTGATCACTAGGCAGAGAGACCAGAGGGACATAGTCAACACCAGAGCATTTAGAGGGGCTGATTGCAACACAGATCATAACATGGTGCTGTCCAAAATCGCCTTCTCACTAAGGAAACAAGTCAAGAAAACTGGAGGACAGCACAGGTACAATCTCAACGTGGCCAGACTGAAGTGTGACAGTGTGCGCAAAGACTTTCAGAGAAGTATGACAACATCACTACAGGAGAGCACAACAGGAGACTCGGATGTTGTAGGGAAGTGGGAGACGTTAAGGGATACAGTATTTAATACAGCAAAAGAAATCCTAGGCAAACCGAAACGCAAGCACCAGGACTGGTTTGACGAAACAGACGAGGAGCTAAACAGACTACTAGAGGAGAGGAACCAGGCAAAGCAAGACAGCTGACTGTAAACACCAGGTCTACCAGGGCAAACCTTGCATCAGCACGCAGCAAACTACAGAAGTACACCCGACAGAAGAAGTCTCAGTGGTGGGAGACTAAAGCAGAGGAACTGCAGCACGCCGCAGCAGAAAACGACATGAAGTCCTTCTATGGAGGTCTTAGAGAAGTATATGGCCCACAAAAGAGAGGTACTGCCCAACTGCTCGCTCTTGATGGAGAGACTGTGTTGACAGACAACAAGAAGATGCTGGAAAGATTTGCTCAGCACTTCGACCAGTTGTTAAATCTGCCTGGAAACGTGGATAGTGCTGCTCTTGCGAGCATCACCCAACGTCCAACAGTCCACGTACTGGATGAGCCCCAAAGATGGATGAACTGAAGGCGATCGCAGCAACTAAGGAAAGCAAAGCTCCTGGATGTTGTGGGATACCTGCAGAAGTATGGAAGTATGGTGGTACAACACTCAAAGAGAGGCTGCTAGATGTGATCGGAGATTCCTGGATAGGAGAGAAGATTCCACAAGATTGGAAGGACGCGAATATAGTCCCTATATTCAAGAAAGGCAGTCGTAAAGAGTGCGCCAACTATCGCGGCATTCCTCTACTCTCAATCGCTGGGAAGGTGATGGCTCGAATACTCCTCAATCGTCTGAACGAAATGATAAGTCCCAGAGTAATTCCTGAGACCCAGAGTGGATTTCGGAGTGGGCGGAGTACCATGGATATGATATTCAGCCTACGACAGGTTCAGGAGAAATGCACTGAACAGAATATGCCCCTCTATGCAGTTTTCATAGACTTTGCTAAGGCCTTTGACACTGTCCCTAGAGGCGGCTTGTGGGCAGTACTGAAAAAGTTTGGCTGTACAGATAAGATTATCAATCTCGTGAAAGCGTTTCACAAAGGAATGCAAGCTAAAGTCACTCGTGGGAGCGACTGCTCTGAGGGATTCGCTGTCTCAACAGGTGTAAAGCAAGGGTGTGTGCTGGCTCCGACACTGTTCTCATTCTACCTGGCTGCCATGCTGGAGGTTGCCTTCGAGGACACAAGGGAAGGTATCTACATCCAGACTAGACATGATGGGAACCTATTCAACGCCTCACACTTCAAAGCTAAGACACGCACAACACGTCAGCTTGTCAGAGATATGCTTTTTGCAGACGACTGTGCTCTGGTTGCTCACAGTGCAGCAGAGATGCAGGCATTGGTGGACAAATTTGCACAAGCTGCCGCTATGTTTAGCCTCAAGATAAACATCAAAAAGACTGAGTGCCTCTACCAGCCAGTAAAGCTTCTACTCCTCCCCAAAACCCTGTGCAATCACCATAGACGGACAGCCTCTTGTCCAGACCACAGACTTCAACTACCTGGGTAGTACAATCTCCAGCAATGCTAAGATTGAAAAGGAGCTGAGGAACAGAATGGGAAGGGCGAGTGCAGCGTTCAGTCAACTAAACGATCGGCTGTGGCAAAATAAGCATGTCTCGACCAGAGTTAAAGCCAAGGTCTATCAGGCGGTGGTGCTGACAACACTCCTTTATGGAGCAGAGGCATGGACAATCTACAGGCTTCAAGTGAAGAAACTGAGTGCGTATATGATGAGACAACTGCGGGACATTCTGAAGATATCATGGCGGGACAAGATCGCAAATGCTAAGATTCTCCGTCTGACTGACCTGCCACACATGGCTGACATGCTGATTCAAAAGAATTTAAGATGGATTGGTCATGTCCATCGTATGGAGAGATCTCGTTTACCACGCCAGCTATTGTACAGCCAACTAGTAGAAGGGAAACGAAACCAAGGCCGACCTCGACTCAGACTCAAAGATGTCATGAAACGAAACCTAAAGAGGAGAGACATCAACGTGACAACCTGGAAGCAACTGGCTGATAACAGACCGGCCTGGAGAGCTTCAATCCAACCATAGAACAGTCCTCGTCGCTTACGACTGACTGCATGATGATGATGATGATCTTCAATAAACAATTTATGATTGGTTATATGGACAATGGCTAAATTAGTATGAAAATAGAAATAGCATTTCTAAAATACCATATTCAGCCAACTTTGAAATCATTTAAAGAATCAAGCTGTGTCAAACATAACAACATATCAATAATCTTTTATCTCCAATGAAAAGTTTTAAGACATGAGTAAGTTAAAATGCGTTTTCACACTTTTTCACAAGCGCAACAACAAGCACTTCTATTGTCCAAAGCAATAAACGATAAAAATCCAGGGAATCTGATGTACAATGAATTACTTGAATATCTTGTGAAAGAAATATTTCGAAGGAAATAGTAGATTTTCATAAACGTCTGTTATCTATATCATTTTGTAATCTGTTAATGGTGTCCAACAAACTTCTCCATGTAACTATTATAGACAGTGTCATAAATTTTGTCTGTGTTATTTTAAAGTTCAATCTCGGGGCCGTAACCGTATTTATATAAAGTTAATTTGTTCTACAAAATCCTGAAGGTATATTTTTCTATACATGAGACGAGTTTCTTACACGTCATATAATTTTGCAGATGGTTGGTTTTTTGTTATGTTGTTTTCCACATAAACAATGTTCAAGTGAGCAATACACGTGAAGAGCATGTGAAAGCCACAAGGTTCTTCCATGGTTATAAAAATAGCTTTAACATGGCAATCATGTGAGACCAGCAATCAGACATGTAATTGTGTTTTTAAATAACTTGTTTATGCGTCATTTATAAGATGATATCGTATCAGGATGTCCATCATATTTTTATCATTAAAAATGATTTCTTTTGATAATGCCTGATCTTTAATTTTTTGACTCGTCTTTTGAAACGTAACTAACTTTTAGGGCTTGTTCATATGAGCCTGGTTAGCAAGACAATCCACAGAGCGGGTCAAATATCCCCCCGCTTTTACAAGAAAAATTCAATCCCACCTGCTTAGACGAAAATGGAAAAATCGAACCTCTTTCGCGAAATGCTTCGAGCATACAACATGGCCCTACATTGACTATAATTCTTTGTATTGTCAGTAGCGGACTCCGTTGGTCGCCAAGTTTTTATCATAAATTCATCTCGGAAAGCTAGCCATTGAGCTGGTATATCTCACCTACCTATGATTCTAATTGTGAAATATAATAGATACTAAATTAAATTAAACTAAAATTTACTAAATTTTCTTGTGTCCCTTGACGTATTAACGTTTTTCTTATGATCAAATTAATCACTGACGTTTGATCAAAATAAAGTTTTCGTTGTTGACTTATACATACGTAAGTGAAATTTAACTTACTTGCTCCTACCTTTTTATTTACTGAAAAGAATGTTTCTTTAAATTACAATGATTTAGCTCGATCAGATCGTTCCAACTTTTCACCAAAGTTGATGATGGCCAACATGATATGACGTTTGAAGTTTTGTACAGCGCTTTAAAGAAAATATACTTTATTTAAGTGCATATAATGACATTGTATCTTCAATAAACAATTTATGATTGGTTATATGGACAATGGCTAAATTAGTATGAAAGTAGAAATAGCATTTCTAAAATACCATATTCAGCCAACTTTGAAATCATTTAAAGAATCAAGCTGTGTCAAACATAACAACATATCAATAATCTCTTATCTCCAAGGAAAAGTTTTAAAACATGAGTAAGTTAAAATGCGTTTTCACAATTTTTCACAAGCGCAACAACACGCACTTATATTGTCCAAAGCGATAAACGATATAAATCCATGTCAGCTGATAGACATATTTTTAACAATATATTGTCGTATAATGAATCAATACCTAAACAGATATTATGCAGGAATGAATTATTTGAATATCTTGTGAATTACTATTTCTGAAAGAAATATTTCGAAGGAAACAGTAGATTTTCATAACCGTCTGTTATCTATATCATTTTGTAATCTGCTAGCGGTGTCCAACAAACTTCGCCGTGTAACTATTAGACAGTGTCATAAATTTTGTCTGTGTTATTTTAAAGTTCAATCTCGGGGCCCTAACCATATTTATATAAAGTTAATTTGTTCTACAAAATCCTGAAGGTATATTTTTCTATACATTCGATGAGTTTCTTACACGTCATATAATTTTGCAGTTGGTTGGTTTTTTGTTATATTGTTTTTCACATAAACAATGTTCAAGTATGCAATACACGTGAAGAGCATGTGAACGGCAATGGACGCTACACAAAAATCGCTGCTCTTTTTGCTGAGAAGCCTTTGAAATGCCTAGCAAAAAATTGGACTAGATTTTAACCAACACAACGTAAGGTCTAACAGCTAGTATTATTCTACAATATTCAATGGCGTGAAAATGAAACTTAAAAAAGATGGATAAAATTTTTCTTTTTTTTGTTTCAATACTTACCGAATTATTAATATTGATAAAACTAAGTATTTTCTTAAATATGTTGTTTTAGCTATTTTACAACCAAATTAAAGCACTTAACCTAAAGTGAACCTTCAATGCACGATCACCATATGCTAATTTAATTTGTTCATACTGTACATGTTTTGCTGTTAGAATTCATGTAAAATTCGAGGGAGAAGAAAAACCTTTGTTACTAAGACATGTAATATATGCAACACAATTTAAAATTTTTATTCACCCGTGCACTTGGCATGCTATAGACATCGAAATTATTACAATTATAAGCCAATTTTATAAGGTCTTTGTTATACAACCTATAAAGTTGAATTTAGCTAAATAATGTTCACTTTACCAAAATACCGCAGACTGCAGTTTTCAGTTTTCATTTGCACAGCACATGTTATTTTGCAATGCACGCTAAAACAATAAAATTTTCTTACATTTCCGTCAAGAGTCGTAGTAAAGTTAATTTAAATTGTCAGACATGGCATATTTGTGCATTTGAATTTTTAAATAAATGACACTGTATACTAAAGTACTACATGATATTTTATTGATACAATAACACGACAATAACCAAAACAAAATAATTTACTAACAAAAATTTGGGAATGTCAAACGCAGTAAAGAAATTTTATTTTCTATATGTCTGCTTGAAGAACAAAACTCAAACTTTCCCAAAGCTCGCAAAAATCCGCGTAAGTGATTGACAATTTAATTTTATACATCTATATGTATGACCAATGGCCCACGAGCAGCACTGCATCGATTGCACAAAAAATGACCTGAATTCTATCCGAAATATTTAATAATTATACCTAAAGCTGTTAACTTGTTACAAAAGTAAGAAATGTATTTAACATACTCTTCTTTAGACTTTTAACGTACTTCTTCATGAGATGGAACGTTTCTCTCTCTCTCCATTCATGGTAATATCAGTGGCATATTAACAAATTTGTATTCTAACATAACTCCTTATCTCATGACTCTCGTAGAAAGCCACAAGATCTTCCATGGTTAGAAAAATAGCTTTAACATGGCAATCATGTGAGACCAGCAATCAGACATGTAATTGTGTTTTTAAATAACTTCTTTATGCGTCATTTGTAAGATGTTATCGTATCAGGATGTCCATCATATTTTTATCATGAAAAATTATTTCTTTTGAAAATGCCTTCTCTCTAGTTTTCAACTCGTGCTTGGAAACGTAACAAACTTTTAGGGCTTGTTCATATGAGCCTGGTTAGCAAGACAATCCACAGAGCGAGACAAATAACTCCCCGTTTTCACAAGACAAATTCAATCTCGCCTACTTAGACAAAAACGGAAAAATCGAACCACTTTCGCGAAATGCTTCGAGCATACAACATGGCCCTACATTGACTATAATTCTTTGTATTGTCAGTAGCGGACTCCGTTGGTCGCCATGTTTTTTTATCATAATATCATCTTGGAAAGCTAGCCATTGAGCTGATATATCTTACCTAACTATTATTCTAATTGTGAAATATAACAGATGCTAAATTAAATTAAACGAAAATTCACCTTACACAACTTTTCCCTCTCCTGTCTTTTCCATTTCCAGCAAGCAGCATCGATCCATTGCTTTGGGTAGATTTTTCAAATAAATCCAACGACTGAGACAGTATTCAATTAAATCTGTCGTATTCTCAATCCAGAGAGGCTTCAAAAAATTATCTAAAATCTTCCTTTAGTCAAGAGGACATCCTCACTGAACAAATATAAAAACACAGTGGCGTAACAGACTCGTTGATTGGGGCACATATTCATAAATTCATGTTCTGCTGCATTAAGTTCTTTTGAAATTGATTGTTTTTAATGGATTAATACATGCATATACGAATTTGTGCCCCCCCTTCTAATAATGGTGCGCCAATTCTAGTACACTAATGATCAAACAACTAAAAGCAAGATATACCTACAATAATCTCCATCCAAAATGACCAAAAATGCAAATACATTCACAATATTTTCTATTCAAATGACTCAGAGTCCCATGTACACATTTTGCCTCGCATCAAACAAAAGTATACATTCAATACTATTGTGCAATGGAAAAAAACACTTCGGAATATTTATTTAAAGAGGCGGAAGGCAGTCAACATTTGTGAAAGTTCATTTAGATTAATTCATAGCTTTGCTTGTCTGGATCATTATTTTTATATTAACTCAAATTCGTACATAACTTTACAAATCTAAAACTGCTAGTCTTTGAAATTAGTCGACATGTAGAACTTCTATGATTAAGCAGAATCCCCATCATCATCATCATCATATCTTTTCGCGCCAGGGCGATCCAATAAACTCGGCCCAAAGGGACGTAAACGTAATTCAACGAGTTTCTCGCATGAGATTTGCATGTCCTGTAGCTGCAATATGTAAATTTTATGGTATTCAATTGCGTTCACGTCTCGATCTTTGTTAAAAATTTTAGCTGATCATGGATATTCTATTAGTTGTCCCAAACATACAAAAACTGTCACCTATTGTTGAAAGTTAGATAGATTATACAAAGCACAATCCACTGGATTCTGAAATTTTGGCAGCTTTTAACGTGCGTTAAGAAATGTTTTTTCAAAACCATGCAATTTTAAATCCTTTGGTAACGTAAGCAAATTACTGTGTGCAGTGGCAGGATAGAAAATTACACGTTTTTTAATGTGCAATTCTTAACATATCTTTACTTGCATGTGAAGTATAAAGTTTAAAAATTTCAAACTCCAGTGCATCTCAATCTGTTTTAGCTATTCAAATTCCAAAAAATAGATGACGCCAATTGTTAGTGTTTTGAAGTGGGCATCTAGTGATATTTTGGCTGATTTCAAATATGATTATTTTTTTATTAAACTTTGAATATTTTGTCTGTTCCATTGGGAATTTTTCAAAATACTATAAATTGCGATCTTTCATGTGAAATGACGTAATAAATACAGCCATTAATGTCGTCATTTGACTCTGAAGATGACTACCGCTAAGGTTGTCGAAACGTCAGTCAACAACAACAAAAACAGTCCTTCTCTAGACTATACCAACCTGGACGATCTACATTTACAAATATTCCTTATTACAAGGAGCAACATAAATGGCTGTATTTCCTATTCATGAACGAGAAAAGAGACAAAACATGGTGCTGCTTCAGCAATCATTATCGTCTAATTGTGCTTACTTGACACACTACAGGTGTTTGCGCACAGTGCTACCAAAAAAAGCAGCTAGTAAAGAGAGTAAAAGATAAATTATATGTAAAAGTCCAATTTAGACATATATATATAACCATTTTGATCTCGAATTACAAAACAAAACCATCCAAAGTGAATGGTGAGAACTTTTAGAAAGACCAGTTTCTTCGTTTAAATTTTTCAGCACAAATAAAACGACTTACTCCTAAAAGCCGTTTGAAGTATCGTAACGTATTTAAATCAATCAGAACACGACAATGCTCTCACGAAAAACACGATGCTAGATTCATATAGTTTAATCAGATAATATGACTCCCTAACGTCACGAAAATCGTCATTAAAATTACGTTATAGACTTTGACAAACGTGCATGTTTTCAAGCTTCAAACACAAATGGTAGAAAAAAGTCAATATTATGTTAGGTAATTGCAAATGAAACTATCGTTTTCACGTTTCCAAACCGATAAAGGGGAAAGGCTATGCCTTCCTTTGTCACATTTTTTTTACGTAACACTTGAAAGAATCATGCATAAAAAATAGGCGGTGCCAATAAATATTACTAAATACGTATGGGTGGTTAACTTTTTAAAACTTACCAACTTTCTCTGGACTTTTCTTCATCAAGACTAGAGGATAGGTCCTCAAGTTCTTCAACCGAATCTAAGGGATTAGGTACAACATTATCCAAAATTTCGTGCTCGTCTACACCTTTCGTAGCGCTTAACAGAGCACGCAATATTGACACCGCTTCTTCTTGCTTATCAATTAATGTTTCCAGTTTGGTGAGAACTGATCTTTGGAAGCCTACAAGATAGATACGAAAATAATAGAATAACTTATGTATAACCTACGTAATATCTTAAAAATATAAAACCTTACAACATGCTAACAAGAAAATTCAAATAAAAACTCGCATCAAATTGCTAATTCAATACGCATACATAAAACAACGCTATTCAAAAACTATATACTGTAGAAAAGGTACCATTAATGTTTGGTTGAGAACGTCTTCCTGTAGGTATTATGTTCATAAAACTTGTCGAAGGCGTTTCGTGCGATGAAAGGTCATGCGCATCTGCAAAGCAAACACGTGTTGCAGTTAGTTGTGAAGAAAATAAAAACATTTCAAACGACACGAAATGAGCGTAAATGAAAACGTAACAAAAAGACGTGCAATAATGAATTGTAAGTAAAGCTTCCCTAAGACATCACTGTTTTGTTGAGAATGTCTTTCTCTTGTTGTGCCAGTTGTAGGAATTCCTTGTGAAGAGACGTTGCCTTTTATCTACAGAGAAGACATGTACTGGGTTTAACATATATCTTTATTGCACGTACGAACGTCATTTAAATTAAGGCACTACAAGTTTCAAAAGTCAGAAACAGAAAGGTGACTAAAATAAAAACCTCGAGAAAGTTTCATTTAGTAGTTTGATAGCAAACGCTGAGAATTAGATTTGAACGGATGTATTTTGATTAAATCGTGGTGAACACAACTGCAATTTTAACTATAACTAACATTTTTTCAACTAATTACAACAATATTTTAAAGGACCTACGCCAACAGCACCTGTAGAACATACATAAGCCCTATAATGCAACCATGGGCGTAGAAAAACAGTAAATGTACATTACGAATGTAAAAGTTAGTTAAAAAGAATCAATCAAAACTATTTCAACATTTTAGTCGACATATTATATGAAAGTTGCTGATTAGTCAGTTCTGATAACAGAAAACTTACCACTACACTGAGATGGTGTCCTACTAGTAGATGGCGAAGTTATTGCATGATCCTTTGTGTTTAGGATTTCTGGTGCTAGTTCACCGTCATATAAATCTAGATCAACATTATATTAGGATGAAAAGAGAAATTTTATACATGCATGTTTCTGTCAAAAAATTGTCCACTTGTACAAGGATTATAATTGCGCTTATACCTTTTTCTGCAAAGGAGATCAGCTCGCTGTACACCGGCAAATCTAAAAAGCAAAATCACTCATTAGATTTAAATGCAACGTAGCAATATGTGAAAAACTGCACTCCTTTGAATAAAGCAATTGCTTATTGCATTGTAACTACAGTACTTACTTCTAGAATTTGTTGATAAGATTTCATTGACGGCTGTTGTCATATTACTTTCAGAAGATTCCAATAAATGCTTATTGTTCATACTAAAAGATGCGTAACGTGGAGCAGGAGGTAACCGAGGGGCTCTGTGTTGAATTACTGGTTCATCATTTTCATCATCGTCTGATGAGAAAAAATACCCGATCATCGCATAACAATGTTTATTGAGTACTCAAGCTATACTAAAAATACTAAAATATGGTTAATTTAATGCTTGTCAAAGATGTAATATTTAAGTAGCTACGGCAATACATTCGGTCTTAATCCTATCTTTTCCCATCTTAAGAAAGAAGACATAGCCAAATTCAAAGAATTTATTGTGTTTTACACACAAGACCCTTTATTGACTACAGCCATATACGCACGTAGTTAGTTATAACAGTAGAAATAAAACACTTTTCTTTGTTACTGTGTACGCAAGTTGTTGGGATCGGAGAGAAATATCTAGAATACTATATAACCTACTTTCTATGTCACTGTAATCTGGAAATTCTTCGATACTCCTTTTGAGACGAGGACGTTTTCGTGGCTTCTCGTTGATTGACTCATCATCTGATTCAATGTTTGAAGTGGCAATGGCTCTTCTAGCAAACTTTTGGGCACTTTTCAAGTTGTCTAAGTAAAAGAAAGGTTTAAATTTAGAAACAGAGCATTAAATCGTTTATAGCACTTTTGAGGCTTCAGTGGAGAAAATGTGAAACACCTGGCAGCAAGTTTATAAAAAATTCAGAAAATAAAAAATTCCTACACCATTAGGACATAGCAATGATTATTTACAATCAAAATGGAAATAACTGGAAATCCAAAACAAATGTAACCTAAATGAAAAATTCATACTATAATCACAAGACACCATATTAACCTGCAAATGTGAATATTCTGACTTTATGTTTTTTCCAACGAGTTTTGTCCGGCAATTCCAGCTCCTTTACCCTAGCTAAGAAGTTTGTCCTCAGCCAATAGTAACACAAAACCTAAACTGTAATTAAATGAAGTTAGTTGCATTGACCTGTACGTATAAACTGAGGAAGATCTTTAAGATATGCCATATTATATTCTATGGGAATCCATTGTCCTTTACAAATTATAGCATGTGATTGTGACTTATATCAATCTTTCAACATAGACATGCATAGCACATACTTTCAGTAACGAGCACATAAATAAAAATGAATGATTGAACAATATTGCATAAAAACAATAACGCAAAGCAAACCCTACACCATCACATGCTTCAATCCAACTTCTGGGAACAACTTCAACTGACTTCTCATCAAGGAATTCTACAACTTCATGTGTATCAGTAGACATCTAAAGCAAATAAAAATACAATTTCAGATTGCAGAGTTCGAAATCATAGCTCATTTGAAATTTCCCTCTTTTTAGCCTGCAATACTGTTTCTCAGTTACATACCAGTACTCATTTCCTATTTACATTCAAATAAACATGCATCAGGCAAAATCTATGAATTTAGTTAAGTAGTGTAATGGACTGTAAAACGTAAGGCCGAATAGAGAAATTTTATCATTAAACAAAACATGTTTAAATGTTGGAACACATTTTCTTCCAAAAACTTTCTGAAAACTGGTTATTTTACCTTTATTATTAGTTAGTGGTATGCAAAACGACTATAAATATTTTTTTCCGCAGCCATAATCAATCATTATTGCTTTTTTTGTTAATTGGTTAAAAGGAAGCACTTTCATTGTGTTCCATTGAGATGATGATTTGTGGAGTCACAAAGAGTTGTAAAGTAAGGCACAGTTTTGTCATGTATTCGGCAAAGAAAAAGTTCTTCATTATCCCAACTATTACTTGCTTTGTCAACAACTTCACCACACGATGAATTATCTAACAAAAATGCATTGTATGGGACCTTTAGACTTATAGAAGCTTCATCATTTTGTTAAATAGTGCCAGAACACTTACTTAAACGTTTAGCAATTTGTGCAATGGGGCTTTTTCCAGAACAAACCATTTTTTTTAACTTTTGCATATAATTCTCAAACGGAAATGAACTACATGTATCCAAACACCCAAACTGTTCCACCTCATCAGCGAAATGAATCATACTTTGTACGTTATACACTACGAATTCATCTCCATACAAGAACATACTTTGCTCAACAATAATGCAATAATCATCAATAATGCATTAATTGCTTAGCGTAATTTTTGTGGAGCTGAGCAAACAAAGGACTAACCAGAATGGAACTTGCAACACTTAAGACCAAGAAATTTTCATATAAATGAGGCCTTAAAATACCTTTCAAAGCAATTTTGCCTGTATACAAATGAAACTGTCTGAATTTTTTAGCTTTCCATATGCGAACCTCCAATAAATTCCTAGGTTTTCGCACAAATGTGGAAGGGATAAATGGTTTATACTCCACCAATTTTTTACCATTAGCCTCTACATGGGCAACAGACATTTTAAAAGCGCGATTTTCCCTCATCCAAACCATAATCAATTTACGTATAACATCTGGACACAGTTGATGCATGTAGTCAATTAGAAATTGTTTTACCATACCAGCAAGCAAGTGACAGAAAGGCCTGACAAAGCGACGATGTTCTTCTTGTATCTGCTTGCTAAAGGAATTAATAGTGCGCAATTCTATATTATTATTTTGAGAGTAAGTCACTCGACCAAGCCACTTCCCTTTTTGTGTACACTTGTCAAAACCAAAATAACCAGTACAAAGTTTTGTACCTTTTAACAAGTGTTCTTGCAGGAGCATCACAAACAATGCCCCTTACTGTAACAGTCAGAACCTTTTCCCCCTCTTGGACTCCCCTCTCTAGAATACCCTTCAAATCTTTTATAAACTCATCCAAAAACTCAAAGTCTTTTGGCTTGGAGTCACCCCATGTTAGGACAATAGGAAACACTACAACAGGTTTGATATTCAAAATGGCATACAACACTGGCCATATATTTTTTGCAGAACTTTTAAACAAAGGAAGCCCATCAACATTTAAAGAGATTTCAAGATATTAATGTTCTTAACTGTTTCACAAGGATGCTTGTGAAAGTGCTTTAACAATTGTGTACCAAAAGAAATGTACACATAATCCATGCCAGATTTTTTCTGAATGGGAATACATCTTGATGTATGCAACAAAGTGCGAGCACAACTAGGCCAATTTTGATGACCATTATCTTTAAGAAGAGCAAAGAAAACCATCAACAGCATTTTGCTTTATTGAGTACTCTTTCGCACAATCTGCGCGAAGTGCTGGTTCACTGTTCTAAAACTTCACACTAACGATGGGACTGTATTTTGATTATATAATTTTGACACTTCAATAAGATATTTACAGTGTTGTGCACGATTTTACGTTCCAAGCGTTGGCTCTTCGCGATACGGAATGATTCAATTTGACCTCGTTACGATTACGGACAACCGTCAATCCTACAACTGCGTTTTCGAAATTTATTGCCTTCTGCAATACAACTCTAATTCATCAAATTTGTATGACCAGTTCATACACCAATAACTACAATATTTACGAACTCCCGAACAAACGCTTGCAAGCTATATTTATGTGTAATTATTCGGAAGTGGTTTTTGGGCGTTTGCATGACTTGCACTACGCCATTCCGTTTATAGAGTACCGTCATTACCTACATCCTACCGCAATGCCACAAGTGTTCCTAAGTATTTTGAATTTACGTACAGGATTTCCACTGAAACCACAGTTTAGTAACTATATACGTATTTGTCTAGTAATATATGACTTAACATTTTACAGTTTATCATACGGTATATTCACACACTACACAACATAACATGACATTTTACAACACACTCCCCACCTTGATTAGTCCCACTAATCAAGCATATTCTGTGTCTTCCAGACAGAATCAAGAGCAGCAGCTCTTTTGGGTCTGCCCGTATTTTCTACCTTCCTTTCAGTCCTTTCTCTCTCTCTTCTCGCTCACACTCGCCTTCGTCGTGCTTCAACTCGGTAGGAAAGAGTTTTTGGACGAGACGATTAAGGTGAACGACTTTACCGTTCCTAACTAACCGAACCTTAGCGCCTCTAACCACACCATCTTTCCCTACAACCAACTCCTCTATTACACCTGTTTTCCAACTTCCCCTTTTGACATTATCCTCATAAACAGTTATGACATCTCCCCTTTGCACTGCCCTATTAGTATTGTCTTTGTCCTGCTTATGAAACTCTCTTAAATCAACTAAATACTCTTTTCGCCACCTATTCCAGAAATGCATTTTTTTTCTTACTCAAATACTGATACCGTTTTTTACAGTAACCCTCATCAGACTCCTCTTCACCAGACACTTCGTCTGGCATGGACAAAAACTTTCTTCCCGTCACCAAATGCGACGGAGTTAGTGGTTCACTACCCACCTCGTCGTACGTGTAAGTCAATGGCCTAGAATTTAATGTTGCCTCAACTTCTACCAATACTGTCAGTAATTCGTCAAATGTCAACCTCGCATTCCCTAGTACCTTCTTTAAACACCTCTTCACTGACCTAACCATCCTTTCAAAAAATCCACCCCACCAGGGAGCTCTTTCTATATTGAATTTCCACTCTATCCTATTGTTTCCCAAATACCCTTGCACACTTGCATTTTAATATAGGGTTTCTAAAGTCTTGACTGTTGCTTTGAACGTTTTTGCATTGTCTGACACCATTAATGATGGGGTCCCCCTCCTAGCTGCAAATCGTCTAAGGCATCTCACAAATTCATCCGCAGACGAATCTTTAACTAAGTCTAAATGTAAGGCCCTAGTTACACAACATGAAAATAATGCGATATAAACCTTATCTGTGCCCCCCGGTGCATTCTTCACATATAATGGTCCTGCAAAATCTACCCCTGTTTTCGTTTTGCTCTACTCTAAATGCTGGAAGGTTTGCTTCGCTAGGTCTATTGTACGATTTACCCTCTAATTTCTTGCACACGATACAATTGTTGAGAATCGATTTTACCCTTTGTCTTCCTTGGGGAATCCAAAATCTAGACCTTATCTCAGCCAAAGTAGCCCTTACCCCACTATGATGTACCTTCCTGTGACTGGGCTCAACGATTAATTATGTCAATCGACCTTCCTTTGGTAGTAAAGTAGGAAATTTCGTTTCCTCTTCCAAATCTGACTCTGCTAGCCTACCCTGACATTTTAACAACCCATCCTTTTCTACTACGTTGAGCTGTACCTCTAACTGCTTAAACTTATCTTCCTTCTTTAACCTGTCCTGTGAAGCCTTTATCCAAAGTCTTTCTGCTTTCTGTAACTCCTGACTCCCTAACTCTGTAAAAGTCAAATCCTCATGCTTCCCTTTGATCCTAGCAATCAAATTCCTGACAAACCGTGCAACCCATGCTGTTACACGAAATAACCTTTCCACCCTACTGTATCAATCTATACAGATAATCTGGTCTATAACAAATTTCTCACTAGCGTCTACTACTAACACAGCCACCTTTCTTTCTTCTTGAACACTCTCCTCGGTCTTACTCACTACAGACTGAGGCCACTCATGCTCTAGACTGCTCAACCAATTTGGTCCATTCCACCAAATTAAATCCTCTTCTAGCCTTGACGCAAACACCCCGCGACTCCCTAAGTCTGCAGGATTTTCTACCCCTGGACAATGCCCCCAGCTTTCCTTACTCGTCAATGTTAGTATCTCATTCACTCTATGTCCCACAAACTGCTTCCATTCACCTCTATTCTGAATCCAATGCAAAGCAGTGATGCTATCTTACCAATATCTTGACTTCCATTTTCCTACCTGCTCTTCTAAAGCCTTCCCTACTGACTCTACCAATTTAGCTAACATAAGCGCAGACATAAGCTCTAAACGTGGAATCGTCAGTTTCTTAAGGGGTGCAACTCTAGTTTTCGCTGCCAATAATTTTACATGAACGTTAGAGCTTGTGCGACAAACAAAATAAACTACTGCGCATTAAGCCTTCTCACTTGCGTCGCCAAATCCATGGAGTTCGCACGACTCGACCCTTTCAATTACATCACTGTAAACGCATCTATTAATTTTAATTCTTTGAACCCTAACTAAATTCTCAATCCACTCTAAGTATATCTTTGCGTGCTTACCCTCTATTTTGTCATCCCAATCAACCTTATCAACACACAATTGTTGAAACAAAATCTTCATCAAAATAATAACGGCACTAATTAAACCCAACGATCAAATATCTTTGCTAATGCGCTAAGCAGGCTTCTCTTTGTTAGTTTCGTCTTATCACCTAAGTCTTCTACAAACTTTCGTAGATCAAACGTAAACAGGTCATTGTCACAATCCCAGCCTATACCTAATACTTTTGCGCAGTCATTGTTATTTAGAGCCCCCAAACTCCATTGTGTGAATGTCTCGTCGTCTGAATCTGTAGTCGTCGTCACTTTGTTTCCGCATTCACGTTGCTCTATAAGCGCTCGCACGTTTCCATCATTCGTAAGCCATTTTCCTACCTTAAACCCGCGTTGGGACATCCTAAATTTCGCTTTCTCGTACAACTCGATTGTTTCCTGTGCGCTCTTACCCCCCGAAACTAGATCATCCACGTAAAACCCCTCATTCAATTTCTGAGCAAGCACTGGATCTGATTCTGCAAATTGCGCAATGTGATGTCTGAGCGTAGCGTTAAGCAAGAAGGGCGATGCATTTAGTTCAAACACTACTCTACAAAACCTATACACTACAACCTCTAAATTACTATTAGTCGCATCTCTCACCCACAAAAATCTCAAATAGTTCCTGTCTGCTTCGTCTACTTCTACGTTCAAAAAGGCTTTCTCAATATCTCCTACCTTCTGCTCTCCCTAAATCTAATTAATATGTCAAACAACAACGGCGTTAGTGGTGGTCCTACATGAAGACAGTCATTCAAAGAAGTCCCTTTCTTACCCTCTTTTGACGATGCGTCATAAACAATTCCCAATTTGGTTGTTTTGGCCTCTTTACGTATTACGGCTTGATGGGGAAGGTAATGAACATTTACCCCAGGTTCAGACTCATCTACCCTTTCTATAACACCCGTTTCTAGCTGTTCCTTTATAATTTTATCATATTCTTCCAACAATGATGGCTCATTCGACAACCTCTTTATCTGCCCTTTCAAGCGTGCTAAACTATTTGAATAATTTGACAGTAAGTGCTCATGACCCTGTTTCCATGGCAATTTTACTACATATTTTGACCCATTGAACTCTATTTTGTCAAGCAATGCTTCATGCACGTCATTAGTCTCTCTTACTCCAAGCGTTTCTAAATCCCACAATTTACTCACATCCCCATTAATACTGTCTGCGTTTTGTGTTGCAATCTGCGAAACTAAATTAACGTGTGCGTTTTTCAAGTTCGAGCTCCCTTTCAGTGGACCGCTTATTACCCAACCTAAACAAGTATTGATGGCAACGGGTTCGTCATCCTTGCCCCTAATTATCTCACCTTGTTGAAATGCCCAAAGGTTATCCGCACCTATCAAAACATCAACATCTAACGTGTCCTGCTTCAAATTAACGTCTGACAACCACAAATCCTTCAAATGCAAATACTTGTTCTTAACTACCTCAAGATGCTCATTTTTGATTGTGCAAATATGAGGAACTACTAACGCCTCAATGCGTATTTTACGACATCCTCGAACTGCCGATACCTCGCAATGAACGACCTCTGTCATTCTACCTTTGTTACTTCCACCACCGAATGTATTAACTTCCAACCATTCTCGCCTAGCAATGTTAAGCTTGGCACACCTCTTCGCGTCATACGTCACAAAGGATTTCTGACTTCCCGAGTCGAAAAGCACTCGCACTCTTGTCTTACCCTTTCCTATAAGTACTCCCTGCGCAGTTTGAAGAGCCACTCTACTTCTAGTACTAACATGGACATTAGCTACACTAACCTGTCCACTTTCTTCCCGACTATTTCTTTCAACCTTCTGATTATTATTACTCTTATCACATATAGAAACATGATGACCCTCCCCACATACGCTACATTTAGTACGTGCACGACAATCTTTAGATAAATGTCCCTTATTTAAACAAATGGAACATCGTTTGAACTTACGAAGAAGTTGCATCCGTTCTTGCCGCCCTGTTACCTTCGTACATTCTTCATGCTTGTGCTCTCCACAACAGAAAGCACAAAACAATCGATTACCTCGTGCAGCATAAAATCCGCTAGCTGTTCCTGGTTCGCGTCGTCTTCTTCGATGGTCTTCTTCTTTCTCTCCGACCGACACTCGATGACATTCTCTCAGCTCCACTTCCACTTGTAACGCTTCGACAAGGTCTTTCATACCCCACTTTAGATACTCTTTCCCTCTTGTAATTGTCAATCTTAACGAGTCCGGTATTTTGGTCAACAGATTTGGGACGACTATCTCGCAATACGTCTCCTCCATCACCCCAAGCGCCTGGAGTCCTCGATAATTTGTTTCGACCGCGTCGAAGAACTTGCGCAGCCTCGTCGTGTCACTCTCGTTGTACATGGGTTTTAAGTTCATCATCTCGTTTACATGTGCCCTTTGCACCATTACCTTGTTCCCGTATCGACGTTGTAACACTTTTAGCGCTTCAGCGTAGTTGATGGAAGTCAAAGCAAATCCCGAAATTGCGGACTTGGCTGGCTCGTCCACCAATCCCCGCAAATAGGTGAATTTGTCGACCTCTGACAAGCCATCGTTGTTGTGAATTGAACTCTCAAATGAGTCCCAGAATTCACGCCAATCTTGTACAATGCCGGAGAATCTTTTCACCTCCAACTTTGGCAGCTTGACTCTGCAGCGTCGTGATTCATTCGATGCCGTACTTGCTGATGTGTTCGCGAGTTCCTCAGTTCTCCTATTTGACTCTAACACGCCGAGTGCTTCGTTGATTTCGGCCAACGCACCCCAGACTTCGCAGCTGTATTCTGATGACCCGTCAATATCTGCCTCAATATCTTCATCCTTTTCCAGTAGTCCCTGAATCTCCTTATCTAACTTCGAAATGGTCTCTAACTTTTGCACCAGTACGAGTCGCATTTGTTCCAACTCTACCTTTCTTACTGGTAGATCCCCGTTCACCATATCTCGAACCTTGTTTACAACTTTTGTGGCGTACGATTTGTGTCCACTCCTCGACTGTCGCTTTCTTGTCAGCTCTGACATCGTGAACAACCCTGTATTCTATTTCTGTGTTCTTCTTGAATTCTGCTACTATATGCGGCTCGAAGGACCACGTTTCGCACAATCTGCGCGAAGTGCTGGTTCACTGTTCTAAAACTTCACACTAACGATGGGACTGTATTTTGATTATATAATTTTGACACTTCAATAAGATATTTACAGTGTTGTGCACGATTTTACGTTCCAAGCGTTGGTTCTTCGCGATACGGAATGATTAAATTTGACCTCGTTAAGATTACGGACAACCGTTAATCCTACAACTGCGTTTTCGAAATTTATTGCCTTCTGCAATACAACTCTAATTCATCAAATTTGTATGACCAGTTCATACACCAATAA